CGAGAACGCGGGTGTGTGGGGTGGGTTTGGGGTGGTGGGGAGCTGAGGGGGGGGTGCCCGACCCCAACCGAGCACCATCCCCCCCCCCCCCCCCCCTCCTCCCCGGGGCCGGGCAGCGCCGCCGGATCGCGGGGAGCCGGGGCTGAGCCCCCCCCCCCCGCGGTGAGGGTCCCCAGAGGGTGGCTTGGTTGGGACCGTGCCTGAGGGGGCACCGGGAGAGGGGGGGAGAAGGCAAAACCCCGCTGCTGGCACCCAGCGGGACCCCCCCTCCAGCTCCGTGCCAGCTCTTCCCTCACGGCACCGGGTGCTGTGGGGCACCCCCAGCCCTGCCTGGTGCCTATTGGGGTGCTGGCACCCCCTGGCACCCCACTCTTAGGGCACCCCGCTGCCCTACAGCCGGCCCCACAGCCCCGCCGGCTGCGTGCGCGGCCCTTGACTCAGCTCCCGAGCCGCTGCTCAGTGCCTGGCATGTGGCTGCGGGCGGCCGGCGGGGATTGCAACCTGCTCGACTGGACAGCGGGTGAGTCCTTGATCCCTGACGGATGCCCTAATATCACCCTGGACTTGGGTTTATCCCGAACGCCGCTGCCACGGGAGCGGTGGAGGGATTAGCGCTGGCGAAATGTTTTCCCTGCTCGTGATACACCGGATCGGCTGTCCCTGCCCTGGCAGGGAGCGGATTCCTTCCCCCTGGGCCTCACCGTCTCGCTCCAGGCTCCCCGGGGCTGGGACGGGGCTGGTTCTGCCTTCACAGCACCACAACCCCAGTTCCCAAGCGGTGGGAGACCAGTCCCCGGTTTGGAGAGCTCATGGTGGCTCCCACCAGCAGGAATCTGCCACCAGGGCTTGGCTGGCAGAGCCCCGGTGAGGATCTGGAGGGTGGCAGCACAGCGGGTTGTAACCAACCTGTGCCCAACACAGCCCCTGCTGCCTGTCCTTCTGCCTTGAGGGCCTTGGGCAAGGGCATGAGCAGCCCCGCTCCCTCTGGAAACAAAGGTGAAATCCCAGGGATTTCACCCAAACCCCAAGGGATCTGCTCCTGCCTCTGGCAGCTCCTCCTTGTTGGGCAGGACCACGCTGAGAGGCGCAGGGCTCAGCGCAGTGCCTGAACCCAGCTGAAGGCTCAGGGCTGGAGAGCTCAGGCTGGGTTTGTGTTCAGAAATAGGCTGGCTGTGGGGGAAACAGTCCTTAAAATTGGATCTAAGGGGAGGGAAGACAAAGTGTGGAGCGCTGTACAAGAGGTCTGCTCTCTATGCTTGGGGAGGCTGTAACAGCTTGGAACCAGGCACCGCACAGTTGGGGTCCAGGTAAAAGGCAGGACGAGGAGAGCGAAGCAGCAGCCCAGAAGGCCCAGCGGTGCCATGGAGAAACCTTCCCGGCTTCCTACCACCGTGTCAGGCCCCAGGAGGACACGGCCACCCCCTTCCTCCTGTGGGTAGGTTGTTTTCCCCTCGCCAGCCAGGTTCATGCCTCAGGTCGGTGTGGGAGCTCCTCCCAACCCTGTCCATGGCCAGTCCCCAGCCTGGCCACGTGCACGCTGAGTTACGGCTTCAAAGAGACGCTGAGCAACCACAACGCGAGCGGAAACGTCAACACCTAGCAGGCTGTGGCGTTTGGAAACAGGAAGGAAATCCCCAGAGCATGGCCCCAGGCCTCCAGCAGCTCGGGAAGCGAGCGGGAAGAGGGCAGCCGAGCTCGCTGCCCACCCACACCCAGGCACTGCAGGCTCACGGGGCACCCCCTGCTGCCTGCCTGACCCCTCAGCTCCTCCTGCCCAGCTCCTCTCCCCTTTTAGAAAACAAGAGCAGCCATCGGGGGCTGTTTCTCCCCGCAGGACAGCTCAGCAGGTGCCTCTGCGTGCCCCAGCTCCCCACACCAGGCTGGGTTGCCCGGCATCCACGCGGGGCGTCGCGGGCCCCAGCGAGCCGTGGCTTTCCCCCCTGTAAACATTGCAGCCCCCCGCACGGAGCGCGGCTGCGTGTCTCCTCCTGTTGGGAGCAGGAGGCTGAGCAGTAATTCAGCGGGCCAGGCGTCCCTATTCATGAGGGAAATTGGAATTCGCTCGCTGTCCCTTCTGCCGAGCGCCCGTCCATACCAAGCCGAGCGCGCGGAGCCTCGAGCTCTGCACCAGCAGCCCAGGGGGTGCTGGCCCCGGGCTGCTCGCATGGGAAGCGCCTGCTGCTGCATGTAAACTCGATTTCCAGCTAATTGATTAAAATCGGCCTCCCTTCCTGTTACCCTAAGCAACCCCATTGATGTGCTCACAAAGTGACCTCATTCCTTACAGCTGCTGCGGGCAGGAGGCCGGGCACAGCCAGCCCGCTGCCAGCCCCGCTCGCTTTCTTTGCCTCCAGCTCATGCTTTTTGCTCCTACAGCCCCTGCTGAACCACCGCAGGGCCTTGGGATGAGTCCACAGCCCCTGCTGCCCTTCCCTGAGGGGGATTCCTCCAATCCCTCCACCCCAGACCCATCAGCCAGGTTCACCAAGGAGCGTTGGGGCTGCCCAGGGAAGGCTCGGAGCGCGCACCAGTTGGCAGAGCCCCCGGAAAGGTCCAGGCGAGCATCAGCATGGAAGTACCGCACGATTTCCAGGGAGCGAACTCACAGCTGCCTTCAATTTTATGGGTTTTGAAGTGGGCCAGCGGGGACAGTGCCAAGCACAGAGGTGCTCCCCCAGCACACAGCTCCGCCGCGTCAACGAGAGGCGAAGCCTCCAGCAGCATCCAGGAGCTGAGCAGCCCTGGTCCTGCGAGCAGCCAGCCCGGCCCCGTGTCGTTCAGAGCTCCAAGGAGGTGGTGTCCCTCTTAGCTGGGGCAAGGCAGGGAGCTGGGGAGCTTCTGAGCTCCGCCTGCAGCCCAGGCGCCTTCACCTGGAGCCAAGCAAGCCGTGCGCTTCAGAGCAGGGAATCTCTCCCCGCTTGCTTTGAGAGCAGAGGATTAGAGAGCAGTCCCTGGTGTTCAGCACACCTGGCACCACGCACAACTGTAGGAGCCAGTTCACGCCTCCTCAAGGCTTCACGCTGGTTTTTAGGGAGGTTTCGTGCACCCAACCCAAGTTTTTAAGCAAGGTGCAGATGGCCACGCTACTGGCCTGGGCCCTGCAGGGGAGCCCCCCGCCTCTTGCTCCAAGCAGCAGACACCGAGCGCAGCGCGTTGGATCACGCCAGGAGCTCCAAAATAACAGACAGCTTTCTTTTTTTTTTTTCCCTTAAAAAAAAAGACTGTTTCTCATGCATAAAATCAGCCTGCTGGTTGCCGAGGGAGACCTGTCCCCGAGCAGAGCAGCTGCATCGCCCAGCAGCGCATCAATCCCCGCGCTCCGGGTCGCAGCGGCTCCCACCTCCGTCCTCCCCAGCAGCCGGGAGGGCTCCCCCACGGCGAGGGCTCTGCGTGGAGCTGGCAGGCCCCAGCTGCCAGGGGAGAGGAGAGGAAGCAGAGGCGAGGAGGAGGCGGCAGGGAGCGGCGAGGCGCCCGTGGGCAGGCAGCCTCACGTGGGAGACGGCAGCGAGCAGGGAGAGGCGTGCAGGCAGCGGGAGCAGCAGGCAGCGAGCAGGGACCCTGGCTGCTGGAGCAGGTAGCAGCCCTTCCTTCAGAGCCTTCCAGAGCCTCAGCCACCTGTGGGTTGTTGGTTTTTTGTTTTTTTTGGTTTTTCCTGCTGCTGTTTTGGTGCTGGGAGAGCAGCGAACAGAGGAGCCGGGCTGCGTGGATGTGCCCAGCCGGGTGAAGGCAGGCACTGCTCACCCCTTGCCCCATCCAGCCCCACCCAGGGGCTGATGACAAACCCTTCCTCCCCACTCCTGAGTCACAGAGGTGCCTCCTGCGTCCCTGCTGGCAGAGCAGGGGCCTGGCAGCCTCCACACACAGCAGCAGAAGGGGCAGAGCAGCGCTGGGCATTCAGCAGTTAACCCGCAGGCATGCCCTGATGCTCTGGGAACACCACCACGTTTTGCTATTCCTCGTTAACCCCTCACACGTTTGCTCAGTGCATTATCCTGGCTGAATGCCTCTCCTCGGGTTGCTGAGCCCAGGACCTCCTGCAGCCGAGCCCTGCAAGCCTCTCGTGGAGGGGAGCTGTGCGTGGAGCCCAGCACCGAGCCTCTGGGAAGGCAGCTGTGTGCACGGGGCACCCGGTTGTGCTGAGTGCTGTGCAGGCAGCCGGGCCTGCCCAGAGCTTTGGGAGGCAGATTTTATCTGATTTAACATCTGACAGCTTCCACCCTGTGCTTACCCAAGAAGGTAAGGCGGCCTGCCTGTAGGAATCGGCACGGCACGGGGCTCCCCACAGGCGCGAGGTACAGCTGAGGCATCCTTTGTCACAGCCACATCTCCCCCTGCCCTTCCCATTTCCCCTTCCCAACCCAAACTGCTCATCCCTGCGGTGACGGGGACACGCTGCTGGCTCTCAGCCACGCTCCCGAGAGGGGCCTGGGGCACCCACAGCTCCAGGAGCACAGCCATGGACAGAGAGGCAGTGGAGCAAGCGGCTGCCGAAGGATGGGAAGAGGAGCAAGAAGCCAGCAGGTTCAGCACATCCTCACTGCCCAGGGCTGCCCGACGGCCCCAAACCCACTTCAAGCTCCCCTGGATGCGGTACGAGCGAGGCCTGACCCCGGAATGGCTGCAGTTTGTGCTCTCTGCTGAAATTTATTTTAAACGCCGTTCTCCGAGACCATTTCCAAAGCAATTTTCTGTTCAGCCTGGCTAGGAAGAGCCCTGAGCAGACTCATTCATTCAGCGCCTGCAATATTGACTCTTCTCTTTACTGCAGCATTAGAAAGCATTTGTCATCTCTAAAATGAATAACTTTACCTCTCCTGGGAAGGGGGAGAAGCTCGCTTCAGTACTGACATTTCATACACCCAGCCCACAAACCTGCCTCGAATCCCAGATGATGCTCCAGGAAAGAAACCGGGGGCTCCTGCTCCTCTGCCTTTTGTGGGGAAAGCACGGCTCCTGCTTCGCCTCGTCCTCCCCGAGCACTCAACTCGCCGGGACACCTCTCGGGCCCTGCCACCCGCTTTGCTCCACGGTGTCCCTGCTGTCCCCAGCGCCACGCAGTCCTCCTGAGGCCTTCAGGGAAGAGCAGAACACCGAGGGCAGCAGCAGAGGCTGGAGCAGGCCCAGCCACCCCTCCGGGGATCTGGCCACCGAGTGAGGCATCTGCAGGACCTCAGCCAGCCCCGAGGGAGCCGGGGAGGTGCTGGTGCCTGTGCCGGGTGTGTTTTTACCACGCTGCTGCCACACAGAGCGGTACCTGCTGCAAGCCTCACTCCAGTCACTTAGGAACAAGTCAGTGCCTCTGCTCTCAAGCTAAAAGAGCCCTTAAAAATCATCCAGAGCAACAAAGAAGTCAGAGAAAAGCCACCCAGCAGCCCCAGAATAAGAGGCATGAAGTTCAGGCTTGCCAGCTCATTGTCTGCAGCCCAGTGAGCGAGGCCCTCTCACGGCCTAGAGACCGCAGCGTGCTTCACTGTAACCTCTGCCTGCGTTTGCCTCAGCCTTCGGAGCTGCCAGAGGTGTTTCCAAGCCTTTCTCAGGAGGTCCAGGGACCAAGAACGTTTGCCTGGGGGAATTTCAGCCTTCATTAACAGAGCTGTGTTTTGGGAACTGAAGCGAGAGGAGGAAATCCCAACTCTGCAAGATCTGGGACAGGAGACCCACGAGCGCTGCCAGCAGTGGCCTTTCTGAGGGAGCAGAGCATCTGATATTCAAACCGTCACACAGGTGCTGTCTTATCACTTCTGAAACCCCTCTCACTGCGAGAGGAGCCGCTCTGCCATCAGGAAACCAAGCTTTTGTCTCACCCAGCTGCCCCACGGAGCCGGGCACAGGCAGCCTCGCGGGGCTCAGCTTTCACAGGCTCCCCTGCAGCAGGGCACCTGCCTCACGTCCTGGGGGATCTGCCACGGAGGAACCACACAGCTCAGCCTCTGGGTACAGCAAAAACAGCCACGGTGCCTGACACGAGCTCGCCAGACTCACCCCACGCAGCGACACAGTGTGCTGGAGGCACCAGGCGAGGAGATCCTGAGGAGATCCAGTCCCAGGGCAGAAGCGAGGTCCCTGCTGCAGCAGGAGCTGGGCAAGCAGCACCACAAACCCCTCCTGAGGGGAGCTGGAGGCTTCGCAGACCAGGGTTATCTCTGGGCTCTAATTACCCAATCACTTCCCCCACCCCTCGTTAAGCAGATGAGGGCAACAGCAGAACCCTCCGGTCCCTGGACCCCGGGGACCCCAGGGACCCAGTGCCACCGGGGCTGGGGAGCCCCAGGACCCCACTCGGGGTCCCCAGCGGGAGGAGCAGCAGCAGCAGCCGGCGTCTGTGGCTGGGGAAGCTCGTGGCAGAGCCTGGAAGGGGTTTGCTGTGGGTCAGGGCTGTTGCAAGATTAATTAGCCTGTTAATTGGAATCAGCACAGCGATGAGGGTGCCGTGGCAGGAACACCTGGTGGCAGCCAGCCCACCAGCGAGCCTCGCTGCACCCCGAGCCTCTCCTCGTGCGTGTAGGGAACAAAAACTCCGGTGCTGAGCTGGCAGCGGGGAGCTCTGTGTGCTGGGGACCCTGCTGCCACCCTGGCACCGCCACACAGGTAGGGTTGGCTCGTTTTTTCAGCTAATTCCCTTGCCTTTTTGTTGTTGTTTTGCCTGGAGCAGCGGTTGGGAAGAGTCATGGTGCTCCTTCCCTGGGAAGTGCTGCGTGGAGAGGGGCAGCGCTGGGTCACAGCGGGGCTGTGCCAGGAGGAACGGGGAGCCCTAAGGAAGGCAAAAGGCATTTCGTGGGAGCGAAACAGCAGGCTGCAGGGAGGCTCTGGCAGAAGCTGGCTGGGGCCAGGCATGAGCATTAGGAGGAAACGCAGCTCCCAGGGCAGCTGAAGCCTCTCAGCGCCACCTGAAGCAGCTGTGCCGCGATCAGCCCCTCGGAGCCCCTCCAGCCTGCCCTGGGGAGGTGGCACATAGCCGAGACGTGGGCCTGCGGGCACCCTGCCTGCGCTCTCAGCTGGCCCCAAAACCACCCGGTGCCCTGCTGCTGCGAGTGGGGCTGGCACTGCCATCCCTTGTGTCGCTCCTCCCGGCTGAGCGGTGCCCCCATACGCGGGCAGCTCACTGCCAGCCCCGGCGGCTGCAGAGTTTGCCGAGCGAGCCCAGCCCGGCACATGCAAATGCCCGGATAAGTCAGTGCCTGCCAACAGGAACCGCGTTATGGAAAGCAGCGAGGCCCTTCCCAAGGCGCCCCGAGTGCCCCGAGCCCCCGAGGGGCTGCAGCGAGCGCCTGCGCGGCTGGCTCCAGGCGGGGACGCCGCCGGCTGTCACAGCCCCGCTGCCAAACCTGACCCTGCTCTCCCCACCGAGGCCATCCGCCTCGTCCATCTTAACATCTTTAAGACCAAAAGGTTCTCCCTGCTGGCTTTTGACACGTTAGATCTCGTCTTTTAATCAAAATACAAATCCTTGGGCTGAGGAGGAAATGTGCACAGCGCCGGGGAGCGACGTACCCTGGCACGGAGCGCAGGAGGGCAGGATCACAGTGAGGAGGGCAGGATCACGCCAGCACCACGTGGAGCTGGGGCTGCAGGACCCTGTGGGGACACGGCTGTCACCTGCAGCCCCACGGGGCCAGCAGCACGCACCAACCGGGGCTGGCTGGGGCCTGGGGTGCAGCAGAGGCTGCCTTCAGGCTCACATCTCCTCCAACGGCGACGCTTTGTGCCCAAGGACTGTTGGTGTAACAAAACCCTTCTCCCCACCGCCTGGCACCTGTGGATGAAACCAGGGCTGGCAGAGGGGGCTCAGGCGCTGTGCGGTGCTCCCACAGGTGGGGTGAGCCCCGCGGGTGGGCCTGGGGGCTTCTGAGCAACCCGTGGAGCCGTGCCGTGCCCTCCTGTTCGCTAAGGCCACATCCCAACGGGACCCGACGGGACGCGGCTGCAGCGTGTTTGCGGGTCACCTCCACGCTAAGGCTTCCCAGCCCTCCCGGAGGGAGGCGTGGAGCTCAAAATCCTGTTTGGCTTTGCCTTCTGCCTGCTCCCAGCTCCACCAGAGCTCCTGGCCCGCCCTGCCTGCCGGCAGCACCACGGCGAGCGTGCACGCCGCCTGCCCTGCACCCACGGCCCCAGCTCCGCTTCCCCTCGCTCCGTGTCATTTCCTTCCTCGTTTTTTGGCCAGGCGCAGGGAAGCCGAGCCCTGTCCTGCTGTCCCCAGGAGCTCGGTGGCCAGCCGTGGAGCGGGGCTGGCTGCTCGGGGCTGCTCCGGGGGCAGGCGTTGCTCACGCTCTCCCTGCGTGGGCTCGCGCTCCTGCAGCGCATCCCCGCGGGCGGCTCTGCCGCTGTTCCCGTGCTGCGCCCACGCTTCTGGGATTTGTTCATTTTGGGCTAGCTGGAGGAATACAGGAAGGGGATGCTTCCCCCAGCCCTCTGCTTCCCCGGGGAGGGATGCTGCAGCTCTTGGCACCAGCTCTGCCCCTTCACGCTTCCCCTGCGATCCCGGCACCTCTCCTGCTGGCACGGTGCTGGGGACGGGGAGCTCGAAGCACAGCCCTCACAGGGGGGGTCCCAGGGGAGAGAGCTTCAGGCACTGCCTGAAGAAATGCAGACCCACCCCAGGGCTCTGGGGGTAGGAGAGAGCTTGGTGGATGCTGAAGGCAAGGGTATGTTTGTAAGGCTTGCGATGGAAGAGGAAAACCCCAAACACTTCCCAGGTGTCCTGGGTGCAGGGAAGAACTTAGAGTGAATTCCTGGGATCCTGGCTGGGCCCACAGTGTTAACTCCCACCTTTTCTTCTCTTCCCAGCTCAGGGCTGGACACACTCCGCGGGACATCCCAGCATCAGCAGCCCTCCGCGTGCGGGTGCCAGTTGGTGATCTGGAGCAGCTTGTTTCGGAGTGTAAGTGCCCAAATCCTCTGTGCTGTCAGTAACAGACCTCTGGGTAGGGATTTCCCATGCTCCAAGACCTCCGTTCCTTTGGAAAAACACCACGTTCACCGCGGGGTGGCTGTGGTGGGGGGGGCTGCAGGGGACCTGGGCGCTCGCAGCTGCAGCAAAAATCTTCCTGGCGGGGCACGAACCCTCGCAGCGCCCGCACTTGGGGCCCACGGTTTCAGGAGCTGCTCAAGTAGCTGCCAGCAGGGAACAAGCCACAGAGGAGACTGTGTTATGCTCGTTAAGTTACCATACTGCACGTGCATGCCAAAAATGTGCTGGCAGCGCTAGCGGCCGCTGCTGAGACCTGCCGGCGTTTCCCAGGGCCCGGGCCGCCCGCTGCGCCGTGGTGTCAGGGTGTGCGAGCTGCAGGCAGAGCCTTTCAGCCCTTTGGGGGGGCCCAGCTTGGCTCTGCCCCCACCTCGGCCTTCCCTGGGAAACAGGGAAGGAGAAAACAGGTAGGGAAAGCAGCAGGGAGAGGTGGCACCTCTGGGAACCACCACGGTCCCCTGGGGCAGGCAGCGCTGCTCTGGGAGCGCTGAGGGCTCCGAGCCCCGGCGCTGGGTGCTGGGGGCAGGCACCTTCTGCCCCCGAGCACCACCCAGAGCCCTCCACAAGGAGCCCGAGGGCACCGCGGGTGGGCTCAGACATGGCTGGGAGGTGCAGCAGCAGCTCCGCACCCCCCGGGCAGTCCCAGCTGGAGACGGCGCAGGTAGAAGTGACTCGCAAGTTATTAACGCTCCGGGGCTCGTCCCCATGCTTACAGCTTCTCCGCTGGCTTTGGGGAAGTCCTAAAGGAGTAGGGGAGATGAAAGCAGGTATTTTGTTTTGAACTCCGGCCTTTGAAATAGCAGGAGTGCCCAGATCTCATCCTTCCTGGGGCCCGCAGCAGGCGAACCCAAGCCTGTGCAGAGCGTGGCTCTCTCCAAAACATTCGTCAGGCATTATGGCAGCAGGAAAAGAGCCTCCCTTGTCCCTACCTCTGCTTTGGTTTTACTCTCGGCTTCTGACAGAACCAGGTCACTCTTTCCACACTTCCTCAGCCTCGCGGAGAGCCGATTAGCGATGAGATGGACATGACTCACCGCCTTTTCTAATGAGCAACTTTCCTATGTTTATGTATTTTGGCAGGGCCTCTCGTATACCTAAAAAAAGCAGGGTGGCACTGGGGAGAGGGCAGGGTAAATTGCTGGCATCTGTATCCAGCCTGAGCCTCTCACCATCCCCTTGGACTCCAGCCAGCTGTGAAGTTGCTGCTTTTGAATGTGAAAAAGGTGTAACCAATCTTCCATGCGCTAATCTGGCTGAAATTCTGTCCGGGCCCACAGGTAGGCTGCCTAAGCCCTTGACGAGTAATTGGACCCAATTAGGCTGGAAGATTTTTTTTGTTTTGTTTTGTTAATATCTGTCCTGGCAATGCCTGGGGGCCCCCTGGTAACAAGCACTGCACAAACCCAGAACAACCTTACCCTGCCGAGGTTTGCCGAGCGCACAGCGGGGCGAGTGGGGTTTTCCTTCTCTTACACAGACGTGGTCCTGGTGGATGGCCACCCGCTCACCCGGCCTTGCTTGTGTTTTGCAGTGACCAAGCGGTGGAAGCTCTCGCTGCCCTAGCCCCGCCAGGCCAGACAATCCTTCCCTTGGCTGAAGATCCCGTTGGATCCCTTCCCATAATGGAAGTGTGAGTGCCAAGATCCTCCATGACCTCCAGAAGCCACAACTCCTTACCGAGAACTCTGATGGCTCCACGAATGCTCTCTGAAGGTGCCCTCGGGGGCATCGCCCAAATCACCCCCTCGCTGTACCTGAGCCGGGGCAGCGTCGCCTCCAACCGGCACCTGCTCCTGTCCCGGGGGATCACCTGCATCATCAACGCAACCATCGAGATTCCCAACTTCAACTGGCCCCAGTTCGAATACGTGAAAGTGCCTTTGGCTGACATGCCCAACGCCCCCATCTCCCTGTACTTCGACAGCGTGGCCGACAAGATAAACAGCGTGGCGCGGAAGCACGGGGCCACCCTCGTCCACTGCGCGGCCGGCGTGAGCAGGTCGGCCACGCTGTGCATCGCCTACCTGATGAAGTACCACAAGGTGTCCCTGTTCGAGGCATACAACTGGGTCAAATCGAGGCGCCCCGTTATACGCCCCAACGTGGGCTTCTGGAGGCAACTGATAGACTACGAGAGGAAGCTGTTTGGGAAGACGACGGTTAAAATGGTACAGACACCATATGGCATCATCCCAGACGTTTATGAGAGAGAGAGGAGACCCCTGATGCCTTACTGGGGAATTTAATGGGACTGCAGGCAGGAAGCACAACAGAAGGGACACGCTGTTCGGAGTCGGCCAGACTGGAGACATTCCCTTCTCTTTCTACAGCCAACTTTGGTTCTTTACCATACAGCAGAACCTCAACTGATTCTCACCTCACTAACCTGCAAGGCCAACGGTTCCCTTCGACGCATTTCTCTCTACAGGGATTCCCCATCCATATTTCTCTGATTTAGCAGAACGAGGTCTCCTTATAAGTTTATTCTCCTTTCATAAACCTTCCCTCTCTTTTTAGTCAGTTTATTAGTATCCTACGAGGAAAGGCCTAAGAGGCATTTGGCAGAGTTGATGAACAAAGTGCGCTTTGTGATGCGGTAGCCTGGATATTTCTTTAATAGCTTGTTTGCTTCCTTGCAAAATCCTGTAGTGGCTAGGGAGCGGCGCTAGCACAGAGCGAGGGAAGTCCTGCTCTAGGGCAGGGGGTTTTACCAAGAGCCAGGAAGGAAGGAGTGGAGTTGTGTTGCTAGTGCTGGTGTTTTCTTTAACAGCTGTAGTGACTCTCAGTATATAGTGTTTGAGATCTTTAGTCAGCTCTTAATCTGTATTAAAAGTCAAAAAGAGTGAAGTCAGTCCGTGTCAGCCACAAGCAAAATAAAATCTGAAAGATTGGAATCAAAATAAATACAAAGTCCTTTTTCACTCATTCCATGCCGGGGCAATAGTCCTGGAGTACACTTACACTTCTGAAAACCACTGGTGTTTTTTGTGGGTGGAAAGTAAACAGAATTTGTCCACGTGTGGCTCAAGACAGACGTGGGAGGTTAACCCTTCCCGCACTGACCAGCCAAAGAAACGTTTAGGAAACTGTGTGCATGGCCACCTTCCAAAAGGGCTGAGCTGTGTTTTCTAATGTTCAATCAACCAGTAAATTGGAAGTAGGTAAATCCGCTTGATTACTTAGCTCTAAGTACGGTCGTGATCTGCCTTAGCCCATTTCTAAAACACTTCATTATGTCCTCAAGGTTATGTTGCATTCTAGAATTATTCTGCACAAAGAGGCGATCTGTGAAACCTCCCGGACGAGGATGGCTTTACGGAGAAGGCTTTGCCTTGTTCTGTTCGCGAGGAGAAAGATTCCAACCTGAGAAGTGGGAGAAACCTTCCCGTGGTGTAACCACTGCGAGCCGAACACCGCTCCTCTCCCCGCGCACAGCGGGGACCGGGTTTCGTTACCACATCACCAGAACAAAGCAAGCCCCTTCCTCAGTGAGACGTTTGTGTCCTCTGCTGCATCTCAGAAGGAGGAGTACGCAGATTGCTGGATGCTGAGATAGCTATCTGATTTAAATGAGATTCTATACTTGTAAAAAAAAAAATCAATAAAGATTAAACAAGAACATGTGTTGGCTTCCTATTCAGAACTGTGCTAATGTATCTGAAGTAACAGTGGGAACATGGTGTAATCCTGAGCAGGGGCTTGATACCAGTCTGGAGCTTAGTCCTGAGCAAAATAACGTGATCTGCTGCCAGTCACTGGGCTGATCTGTTCTCAGTCCATCCAGGGGGCCTGCAGTTCCTGACCAGCACCATCAGGACAGCCAGGCAAGTCCTTTGGCTAGTCCAAAATCAGTTACTGCAAATTCCTTGATACTGCAAAGTCCAAAAGGAGTTTCCTACATGCAACTACAGCCCCTTCCACCTGGAAACCCTTCTTTTACCTAGGGTGCACTTGGACAAAACTGCAATTGAAAAAGCCAAAGTACTTTAGCACAATTTTTCCTAACATCAGTGGATGCATCTCAGAGCAGTCCTGCACTGACAGAGGAAGTCTTTTTCCCACTGAAATGAGTGAGGTTTTTTTGCCATGAGCTGTGACCTGGTCAGGTTTTGCTGGTTGTGTCTCTTGGCAGTGCAGTGACAAGCAGACTGCCCATGTAAGAACTACATTCTGCTCATCTTCCTCCCCAGCTAAACTGCACCAGGGCAATGGTAAGCAAGAAAATGAACGAGAGATTAAAAATGAAGACTGATAATTAGTCTGCAGACATTCTGAAAGCATGACGTATTGGAGGGGAAAAAAATCGACTTTCCAAATTAAATACCTAAAAATTGACCATGTATAATTTAACAATATTATAATATTAATAATATTGTTTTAAAATATAATTGCCTGATAAAGCACATCACGAAATAAAGAATTCATTAATAAGAAATACCCAGCAAAGAGTATATTATGGAGAATTGCCTCGGTATTAATACTTACTGGTATTTCTCTGCACAAATTCCTCGTTCCAAGAGCAGGTATTTACCTGAGTGTTTTTCCCCTCAAAATCCATTTTTTCATCACGCATCCTTAAACTTACAGAGACCAAAGAGGAGAGCACAGCACAGCTCACACCTGCTGGGCTCCAGGGAAGCCTCGTTCCTCCTGCTACCCATTCTGGAAAGCGCCCACCTGCGATTGTTTCAGAGTGGTTGGATGTTATTTGGTGAGGCATCTTGCAGATATGAGCCATGAAGATGACTTTGAACATGCACAGCTTCACGTGAGGCCCTTGTAGGTCGAGCTCTTTGAGTTTCTCCCGAGCCAGAGGATGTTTCTCAGCCCTGATGCCACCCGGGGAGCGCGGTGGCAGCTCTGGTCCTGCAGGCAGGGCCAGGTTTTGTCCAGCTGCACCCCAGAACAAGCCCCTCCATGGCTCTGTCGGGAATGAAACGGGTTCTTTATTGAAATCGAGGTTTGAATCCCAACAACAGATTTGTAAGTCACTGCAAGAATTAAGGGAGCGAACAATTGACTAAAAAGTCAATTAATAACACTTTTCCTCCTTGGATTTAAAATGTCTGCAGTGACTCCAGCACAGCGCAAACTGAAACAGCTCCAACACCTAATCACAAAACCACTTCTGGAAGACAAATAGCATCTCCCCAAGGGGGAGAAAAAGGAATCACAATATGAAGAGACGTTTTCTGACCACTTTTCTTCATAAAATTATGACATTTATCTTTTAACATTGAGAACTGGAATTAAATACCGGCCCGGAGATCAAAAAAATCTTTCAGAAAAAGCAGTTAGTACAATAGCAGCTTTTATTGAAAAGGCAGTTTTTGTTTCAAGTTTAATTAGTCTGACATGAAGCTAACCAGAAAACAGCATTCGTTGGGTTTTACCGAGCTCCACTCGCCCCTCATTTCTGCTGCACCGCTCTCAAGGAGCTGCTGAAAGCAAACCCAGGTGAAGGGAAGCTGCTGCCGGAGCTGAAAATTCAGAGGAATGTTCAAGAGCAGGACGTAACAATTCCCACGCCACAAATAACCTCCCAGCTGCTACACAGCAAACACAACAAGCTCGCGAAGGTACTCGAAACAAAACGCAACAGCGGCCGGGCAGGACACAGGCTGGAACAGTTGGGTTGCTCCCGAGCACTCCTGCCACCGAGGAAAAGCCAAAAAGCACTAAGATAGCACAGAAGCATCAGGAACACAACTGGGCAAAATGATATAAATTAAATCAAGCAAAGGAACAATCTCTTACAGCTCCAAATATACACAAATACATAGAAAAATCACTTTTCATAGGTAATCCCAAGGCAGCTCCAGAGAACACACACATTAAAAAAAAAGGAAGAAGAAAACCAGGTTTCTTTTTTTTTTTTTTTCCTAAGGAAAGAGTACATCCAGCAAGAGGAGCTGTATTTATCAAACTCAGCACAGCCAAAGCAGAAGGCAGCATGGCCATTAGCCTGTATGCAAAGGAGGCAGGGGAACATGGTCTGGTACAATGCACTGTAGAAAATCCTGTAACCTTGGATACAGATTGCAAGGACAGCGGGCTCTGGCTAGCAGTGCGATGGCTGAGGAGATGCTGAATGCAACAGTGAGTCATTTTAATGACTGGGGTATGGGAGGGAAACGATCCTCGTTGTGCAACGCCTTTATCAAGGGGATCTGCATGTAAAACATTTGATGTATTCCCATGACGTAAAGGTGTTCAGAACAACGGCTCCTGCTTGCCACGAACGCATTAATATTGCCTGCTGCTCTCCCTTCTGTAGGGAGCAAGTGCCTGGCAGTGTCATACTTCAGTAAGCTCTGCTGCAATTATAATTGTAAATGTCGATTCCTTACTTTTATGGGCCAAAAGCCGCACCGGCTACAGCTTAGAGAGGGAACTCGCTTAATAAGTACGTGGCAGGAAAAACATCACTGGAAAAGGCTTTTATGACAGCACATCTCCGACTGCATTTGAAATATTGGTTGCTTTAAGTTTCACATTGTGGCCTTTGTGTGTGTGTGTGTGTGGCATTCTCTTTTAATTAGAAAAGAACACGTACCCGGTTAAGTGTTCAGGAGCTGTGGTGGAAGCCCGTGCTAACAATAAATTCCCTTTTCCCAATATAGCATTTTCATAAGCAGCAGCAGCCTTTGCGTCAGCCAGATACAAAAACCACTCGACAAGTCCCCTTGCTAGCAGCAAGGCGAGGCATTTGCTTGAAGCCAGACAATGCTTAAGTGCTTCTGTAGCTCAGCGTGCAAAGGCAAGTGCTGGCTCACCTGTGCTGCGCAGCCCCCGACCATCAATGGGAGCACTTCCACTGGTACCCAGCAGCCCCTAATTACGAGGGGAAACCGATGGATGTGGTCAACAGCTATGGTGCAGGCTACTGGAACTATTTCACACCTAATACACGAATTAGAGAGCAAGCAAAGACTGACTGCTTTTTTTTTTTTTTTTTTTCCCCTTTTTTGATAATTACTGGGCAGCAGAAGGCAAGCAGTCACTGTCGCACTATTGACAATCTGCCACTTGATTAGCTTGAGCTTGCAACTGGAGGCACAAGTTGCTGAGTTTATGAATAAGCTTAATTTCAGGCAGGAGAAAGATTTATTTTAATTTGGGTAAACAAGGGGCCGGACACCTAACACTCTTATTAGCCAAGATTCTTTAATTTGGCATAATTAATTGTGTAGTATAGCTAATTCTTCTCATTTTTTTTTTAAATCACAGACTGGCTGAGGCTGGCAGGGACCTCAGGGTCCCTCTGGTGCCACCCCAGCCCCACATCCAGGGGGCTGCTGGAGCTCTCCCAGAGGAGCCCCCAGCCCCTCGGGCAGCCTGTACCAGGGCTGTGACACCTGCAGTGTTTCCTGACAACCTCCTGTGTTCATTTGTGCCCACTGCTTCTTGTCCAGGCACTGGGCACCACCAAACAGAGCCTGGCTCCATCCCCTTCGCATCCTCCCTGCAGGTGTCTATAGGCATGGATGAGATCCCCTCGAGCCCCCTCTTCTCCAGGCTGAACATCCCAGCTCTCTCAGCCTCTCATAACAGGAGAGGTGCTCCGGTCCCCTGAGCATCTCGGTGGCCCTCCACTGGGCTCTTCCCAGTATGTCCAGGTCTCTCTTTTACTGGGGGATCCAGACCTGGGCACAGAGCTCCAGGTGAGGCCTCACCAGCGCAGAGCAGAGGGGAGCGAGCACCTCTCCGGACCTGCTGGCGATGCTTTGCCTAATGCAGCCCAAATACCACTGACCTTCTTGGCAGCAAGGCCACGTTGCTGACTCGTGTTGCCCATGGGCTTGTGACAGTCCAGTTTGCTCAAGTGTTCCCTGACCTTATCTTCTTCCACCAAAGAGAGGGCAATCTTCCTCTTTGTAATTTTGATTTCAGCAAATAATTACTTGTCAATGTCAGCTACTCGCAATGAAGGCAAGACTAGCTTGAAAAAGCTGTTGATATCTTTGGAGAAAAGAGATTTTCTAGAGAACTGAGTTAAACTGAAGTTAAAGAACGAAGCAAACTGAACAGGATGTGTAGTGGTAAGGCTCTTAAAATAATGCCACGAAGCTCCCAGTGGGTTTGAAGTTCTGTAACTATCACTGAGCTGATGGCACTGTCATCATATTGAAAGAAAGAAGCGGTTACTTTAAGTTTATGGGCAACACTTTGTGATGGTCTATCACACTAATCTCTTCCTATCGGATAGGTGTACCTACCATAAGCAACAAAATGACAGCCTGCCTCAAAAAGCAGTCTGCTTAAGCCCAATTTTCGGCGTTAGATCACACCCACCTGCAGTAGGAGCTAAGGGCCTCCTTGCACTGCCAGTTCTGAGCCAGGAAAACGCGTTCTCACAGACAGCACTGGATTGCACAAGTTAGCTGCATGAGTCCCATCAGGGGAAGCAGGTAACACACAAAAAAGGGACTATGTACAGGAGCAGACACGCAGTATCAGCGGAGTCCAGTTTTCAGCAGTGATGCAGCCACACAACTACCACAGTGTCAGAAGCGTAACAAACCACACCTGTAGTCCAGGACAAGTCCAAGAGCAGACTTTAGCCAGTATTTACAACAGAACAGCAAAGATTTCTAGTTTTAAAATCCAGTTGCCCGTACTAAAGAGTCCAGATATGATAGAGAAAATTTAAACAATTTTTCCATGTTCTTAACCCCCAGTACTAACCAGTTAAGCATATGAATACTTTATAATAATTTACAATTCAGAACAGTTGAAAATTTAAATAAACAAAGGCTCTCTACAGTCTAATTCCTTCCAAGTCAGTAATTCATTTTGCCTTGGAAGTTACCATGACATGTGCATTGTGTGCATTGTAATAATGTAGCAGCAAATATTTAAAGAAAAATATCATGATCCAGCCACCCAAAACATTAAGAAAAGATTTGTTTGCAAATATGTAGTCTTTAAGTGTCACTTCCATGCAAGTCAGTCTAGCATTTCAGTTTGTCTTGGAAACTAGGTGCTGTCCTCTCACAGAGGTCTGTACACTCCGACAGCAGACTGGCTTTTTGTTTGTTTGTTTCACAGAGACCTACCCGCTTTCATATTGAGAAAGAAACGCCACATTTTGTGCCACTCCACCTTTTTTTTCTGGTTATTTCTGAAACCCAGCCATTTCAAGTACAATTCTTCACGGGGAACTTCCATATGCGAGAGTGGCTTTAATCCACTGTTGCACAGAAATCAAAACAAAGCATTTCAAACCCTAGCCACAGCTCCAAGAAGCCTTTCCACTTACTCTATCGCACCATTGACCCCAGGCAAGGTGCATTTTCAGACCCGATACTCCACCTTCTGTGTGACCGCTTTCAGAGCAGGTCGGGCAAAATGAGACCCGGAGGCTTTGGCTCCACGCAGTTGATCCAGAAGTTTGCACAGCTGGCGTGGTATTGGTGTCCTCCATACGCCAGCTTAAAATTATCCGTTTCTGAATTAAAGGCCTAGAATAACAAGAATTGAAACAAGTATGACAGTCTTATCTTCTCCAGGACATAAAACAGAGTGGAAAATGGCTATCGCAGAGGCGTTCACCCCCAGATGGCACAGCATGGCAGAACCTGGCCCCTCTCACTCTGAATGAGCCGTCTCCACTTGCAGAAGCAGAGCAGGCAGACAAATATTTCAGTTTAGTCTGCAGAAATGTTTGCAGGTGGACAAAACCTTCAGCCACCACACCTGATGGTGCTCAGTCTGCTACACGGTGTGTGAGAGGGAGCCACTCGATGGGTATTCTCTCATCTGACACCTGGTAACTAACTCATCTTGTTTCGTGTGTCCTCTAGGAAACAAAACCTTCTTCTGCTGGCTATCGCATTTATTTCACAGGGTCAAATTCTGCCATAACTTATGCAGGTGCAATTCTTGATATTAGCATTATCCTACCATACTGCTGGCTCAGGTTGGTCCCCTTTTTTTCTGGTAATTGAATCTGCTTTACAATAGGAGCGCATGAAGCCATGAACAAGCTTAAAGCATCTCAATGTATGTTGCTAGGAGATACTGCTTAGATGTGATGGGAAAACGATTTTATTTTTTTTTTAAATAAATCTAGGCTCTTGGGGATAACGTTGTTTTTTTTTTCTTCCAGTTCAGAAAGAGAACAGTTAACAGCTGTTTCTACTTCAGCAGCATTCCCAGTGCTTCACAGCTACCTATTTAAAAAATATTCTAAACCTGTTTCCCACACTTTGGATTTCCTGCACAGACTTCTACAAATGCCATTGCCTACTCCATATAGCCAAAAGGCAATACGTGTAGCAAAACCCCTAGAGTTCCCCACCCTTCTGCAACAGACACACAGGCAGCTACAAATTGAGAACCTCGCTGCGGTGAGTTTTCTACCACACAACAGAAGTAGCACAAAACCAGAAAGCTATTCACGAGAAACAAGCATGCAGACAAGACAAAAGGGAGGCTCTGGAGCATGTTAGTTGATCGGATCAGGTATTACAGTCACAAAAAATGACTAGAAGAAAAGGATTCATGATTGGTACAATTGAGAATGACAGCTGAAGGCCAGTTTGCAGTTCAGCCTTTCACACTCAACTAGGAATGATTCTATAAAGAATTTTTTACAGGTTCATACTTTTCTAGGAAGCTCTTCCACAGGTTTCTCTTCTTTCTGAAATAACGTTGAAACCAAAAGGTCAGCAAAACTGCCGATATACATTAATTGGTTGGCATAATTACTCTGTACACATCCTGGGATTCCCTCCCAGCTCTACTAATTGCAATAGTCCCCTCCTGGCAATCCGCAGAGATGCATTGCATAAAAGAAAGTCATTAAAAGATTTATATCTGTATCTGTATATATATTTTTTCTCAGTATCCCAGTTCTTTCCTGTAATGAAGAATTTAACTTTTCAACCTTTTTCTCCACATCCACGTCACACCCAAAGCCCACTGAGTTTAGGCCACTGACTGGTCTGAGTCCCATCTATTGATCAGATTCTGCCTTTGGTTCCAGTTACAAATTACAGCCATGGAAATTTGTAAATGTACCCCAAGCCTAAATGGAAGTCAAAACTGTAAATTAAAAACAAGTTTAATGATAGAGGCCACGATACTTACTTTACTTCTTGAATCCACATTTAGGAGGCACACTCCACAGGCAAGATCTTGGGCATTTTTAATCCCTGGACGCAGCATACAAGAAGAGAAATCCAGTGAGTTTTCATCTGGCTAAAGAAATGAAACAGTAAAATTTAGGCATTTTCAATGACTGAAAAAAATCCAGTTATGATAAAAATTATTTTTCTGGTTGTAGCAGAGACTTATGGCATCACACAGGCAACAAGTCAGAGGTGACGTTACATTTTCTCGGACCGATGCATGATTTAATCAAAGCCATTAGTATGCATTTGCAGTCCTGCAACGCAGTCTCCATCAGCATTAATTTATAACACTCCAGCTCTTGAAAAGGGGTTAGACTACAAAGGAAATAATTCTTAAGTTCCATGTTCCCACATCAAAAAGGGAAGAAATTTTGAGGGAAGAGCCCAGGCAGCTGCTGCTACATTTCAACTGCAGCGTATTAAGAACTGGATGCAGATAAACAGCGGGTATGCACCAGCTATTTGTGCAGCTGCGAGGAAACGAGGCGCTGGCCAGCACGGCTTCCACTGGTGTTTGAAGTGGTGTCCGTATCTGTGTTTATTGTCCTGCATTCCGTGTTACTGCCTGATCAAAAAGGGCAGTTGTTGTTCTTTCTGAAGGTTTTTTTTCCTGAATCTAAAGGATGGCACAGCAGTACCAAATGGGATATTAAGATTAACCAAACCATGTAAGAATTAAGGTCACCAGCTATTTCATGCCAGACAAGCTCAGGTCCAATGGAGGCAAAGATTGGGAGAATAAGCCTGCAAATAATCAACTTTTCTGGTACACAATGTTAAAATTTCAGCTACAAGATAAATGGTTACAGAAAGCTTTACATATGCATGCTATAAAGCTGTTGAAGTATTTATTGCTTGAAGGCAGTAGCACAATTAAAAATAATGGCTAGAAATGCGAGAAACAAACAAAATGTGTGATCATAAAACACATGTACTCTTTCTTAATCCATAGGCTAGGTATGCTGATCACACTCCCCTGCTGAATGGCTGGAGAATAATTGGAATCCTGAAAAAAGCCCTTTAATCTCTAAGTAGATCAATCAAATTAATAAACACACTCTAATATTTGTTTACCAAACGCACGAGTGAAGCAAATGAGAAGGTCGTCCTGTAATTTGCAATGAAAAACCACAAGGCTGTGCATAAAATTATTTTGCAACAAAATCCTTTAAAAGATAAAATTAACCTTTCCCAGAGTGTGCCTCTGAGCTGGGCTACTTCTCTGCACCGTGTGGGATCTGTGACACCAGGGGAAGGCACGGTTCCACATGGTTTGGTATTCCACGTGGAGAAGAGAAACAAAAAAGGATGATTTTGAGAAGTGTCGGAGTCAGGAGTCTCTTCAGTAATTTCCGAGGCACTGCACATGTTTGAGAAGCAGTTTGCAGCTCCAAGCGTGCTTAACTTTTAGCTGGACTGCTAAGGAGAACGTAGCACAGACCTTAAAGGTAATCCCTGTAATCTGCCAGGGAAAAGTACTTTAGGAACTAAATTTTAATCTACTTGTTTTAAATCAAGAGAGACTCCTGGTAGCTTTTTAGATTGTCACCATCAACAATGCCAGATTTCAAACGGATGAGTCCTCGTCTATCAACCTCACCTGCCAGGCAGTAAAATAGCTTGGCAGTGTAAATTTCATATTCTGACAGGCCTTGTGTAATGCTGGGTGTTACCAAAAGCACCTGCTTGGCATCGCTGCGTGTAATGAGAGGTTTGAAGTGTGCAAGAGGTGTGTAAAAAGGGACTGACACAATACCTGCTTTGCAGGGCTGATGGTTAGCTTAAGGTGGCTCTTTGAGGCAGAAACCAGGTACCTGGGGGCTCGTTTACACCCAGCTGCTTGCTGAGGAGCAAAGATCTTTAGTGGCCACGGCTGCATTGCAGGAAGGAAGCCACAAATTAAAGCGTTCAGGGAGAAGATAACATAGCAATGATCTAGTTATGGGTGCTCGATGTGAAGCACTGATAGTAGGGATTGGAGACTCCTCAGCTATACACTGAATTAAAGAGATCCATTACACAAGACTGTATCAAGCACCCTCATAAGGATGATTCCCTAAGGATATGAGTTCTACCATGGTTAAAGGAAGTCATTTTGCACATATTTCTGTGTGAACGTTGCAGGAGCTAAGTGAAAGATATTTAATGGCAAGTTTATTTTCTTGCTTTCCAGTTGTATCTACTCTGTACCAGGCCCCTACACAGCCCTCTTTTTCACAGTTCCTTTGAGCACCCTTCCCATCTGGTGCTCCCTCACCTAAAGACCAGTGCTCAGACAGCCCCCCACCAGCTCTCCTTGTGTCTGGAGCTCCTACCAGACTGTCTCAGAGCAACTGAGTCTTTTTTGGCAGTTCTATTGCAAGGAGGAAGAACTATTTAGTCTGCAGTGGGAACCAAAACAAACTTAGGCATTTCCAAAATCCAGAGAGAAAAGAAAACAGGTCAGTTATTCCTGTGTTGCTACATGGCATGCTCCTGTACTGTTAGCATTAGAACTGACTGCGGGGATACTTCACTGACAAGGTAAATCCACACGATTCTGGCTTCGCATAATGGCTTATAAAATTTCACTAATTTTCCCTTGTTAGAGAGGTCCACAGACACACAGGGTATCACATCTTTAAGTCACTAACATAACACAGTATTTGCACCTAAGTAAGTTTTCTTACACAGAGCTTTAAACTAGATTTCACAAACAAGTGTATTTCCATTTTGCAAGAGGAAAAAAAAAATGAAAGTTAGGACACCCCATGAAGTCATTTTACACATAATTATGAGGTTTCTGCTAGTAAAGAGATAACTTATTTTTGGCCTTACCGTTAAAGCAGCAAGTGACATGAAGCTTATTAGGTTGTTCCATACTTTGTCAATATCCTTCAGCAGCTGTTGGAGTTTCTCGCTACAGACAGCTGTTGCTTTGATACCCAGTTCAACTCTCTTTGTTACTCTATAGACTTCAACAACCCCTGTTGAATAAAACAGAGCAAAGAAACACAGATAAATTCACTGCAGGAACAAGGTTCCTGAAATTGTGGCTCAAAAATAGTACAAAATAGGCACAGCACATTAAAGGCGGTCATGGACTGTTTTTTCTAAGTAGTAGTTACATTATTTAGCAGCAGTTGTTGCTCATCTTTTCAATACAGGCATAGATTAAGCTAAAAAAAAATAAATACACATTTTGGGAAAAATGATTGCACATTAGTATAGGAGAACATTTAATGCAAGAGAGGCACTAAATTAAAACATACCTAGTAAATATTCCATGCCTTGAGCAGACTGGATAACTTCAGTGCAAACAGATGAACTGCTTATTCCATTTAAGGTATCGTTTGCTTTCTTTATGACCTGGTGGAAGTAAGATTCATAAAAAGGAGGTGTTATTTACCTTAAAATAATTACTACAAACAAAATTGTCACCAACAGAAACTGTTACACAAAAAAGGAGGCAAATTAAATGACTGCTATATTCAGTCTCATGATTTTGTACATTCATGCTGTAAGTCTAAGTAGATCAGGGTAAAAGTATGAACATTTAAAACCTTAGTGCATTCCCACCAATGTTTTCATTACTAAAACAGTAGTTTTGAGTGTATGTATGCATTGCTATCTAGTTTAATAATAGCATTCAGATTTTTTTTGCATTTGAGTATTAGACAGCAAAAAGAAATTTTAAGGAAAATTACTCTGGCTGTGAAATACCTGACACACATTACCAGAAAATCAATGACCTCTCCTCAAGCCACATTAAATATGCCCATTTCTAAAATACGGTGCTGAAGAGCAAGGTGCTGATACCAATGCCCCAAACAACATATTTTATTGGGCTCTGCTCGGGCTGATTCACACCCTTTCCATGCCTATACAGTCTTAAACATTGAATAAAGTTGTACCTACACTAAGGAGGAAAAGATTTCAGAGGCTATACACTTACTTGCAGGGCACTCTCCAAGCATCTTTGCCATTCATACGCGTATCTCTCACTTTCCTATTTGAAAGAAAAGGACAGTCTGAATCCTCTTTCTACACGCATTTCCCTCTCTCCTACCACAACAGACATACAGAAGACAGGTATTTAAAGAGTTCATTTGCAGGTTAGCTATGAAAAAATCTAAAATACCTTTTCCTAATTTTTTAAATAGTCTCTTTGCATCTGACCTCTAAAATTTGATTTCTGGGAGTTAGAGCTAGTTTCAAAAGGAAGCACACACATTCCCACTCCCAACAAATTTGTTACAGGTTTGCCGTTACAGAAATGGGGATTAGCAGAACTTAATCCAAGTCCTTTTACCATCCTATTCTTAATACGAGTGAGAGAAATAACGATTACACAGCCAAAAAGTTAAGCCATTTCTCAAAGCCAATGGTCTCAGTGCCAAAACTAGGATTAGATTTTAGTCGTAACCAATTTCCAGTTACAAGCTTGGACTGCAAGGTCAAATGATTCAGACACCAGCATTTTTTTCCATGCCACAAGGCTTTAAAGAAGAAACTTCCTTTATGAACCGTTTCCTGTTCATAAGAAGAAGACAAAGAAAAGAACCCTTTCTTTATGAACAGCAAAATCAAAACACCTAACCTTACCCAGGCTCCATCTTAGAAATACAGCCTAAATGGAAACAGCTGAAGTCCCAAGGAGCTGGGATACAGAACTCCTTTAATATCACAACACCAATGAAAGTCATTGCTGAATTTCCAGACAATTCCTCACCTCAACTTCCCCGGTCAGGTCTTTGTATTTGTCTCTGATGACAGGCAAGGCCGGCTTCTCACTCAGGGTGTTTGAACGATCTCTAAACGGCTGCTCCAAAACTGGTAGAGGTGAAGAGCGGCTTATTTCTCTGTCACCTAGGCTTAAACTCCTTTTATGAGACCCTAAAAAGTTTGGATATAAACAAGGTTTTTCTTCCACTCAAAGGCAGGGAGTACTTAAAATGAATGTAGTGGTATGAAGGGATGCACTACGCCTCCATAAGAACAAAACCTGCTGTTTACTCACTGACTGGTGCAAGCTTCCCCAGTTCAATTCTTACAAAATTTTGGCACAACAACTTTTTATTTCTACAAAGAACTCTACTCCAAACGTCATAGAAATCAATAAGGAGCTTGTTTCCAGTAGTCTTTAGAACAATCCCCACTGGCTAATTTATAATTTGATTAGAAAAAATAGCCTTTAATAAGTACATGCTTCATGAGATTGCTCTGCTCTGAGCAGGCTTACCTTGAACAGACAGGTCAAAGGTAGCCAGCTCACTCTTGATCATTTCTTCACTAGATTTCATCTTGCCTTGGGAAGTTGCCACCAAGAAGTCAAATTTGCTAATTTTTGGCTTTTCACTTTGGAATTCTCCAAAGTCATCCGTGGACTCCCTGCGCATTTCGGAAGAGATGCCAGTAGCAAGGAAGTCTGCCTCTTGACTTGTGTCGGCTGCTGCATCCTGCGCCTCTGATGAAGGTCTTGCAAAATCACCAAAGTCTCCAATGTCATCATCACTTGGACCGCTGGATATTGGTCCGGAGTCCTTAAAGTTTGCAAAGGCTGCAAACGAAACATCCTGCAATGCATCCTCGCTAGAAAAGGTTGTCACTTTGGAAACGGTTGTCATGGTAATGTTTTCTGAACTGCCAAACAAAGTCTCCTTCTTCTGAAGAACAGAGGTAGCTGCAGAGGATCCGCTTCCCGAAGCCTGGACAAAGGAGGAGAACTTCTTGCTCTGGTGAATGTCTTCTTTGTCGGACCAGTCGTAGCTTGCCAGGCTGCTGACTGCAGACCCACTGTTATAGCTTCCAAACGGGGCACATTTTAAGTCATCTATATCTGAGAAAAAGAAACCCCTACAATTAGAAGCTGAAGTTCAAACATTAATCTCTTCACACTGTCTAAAAATAATAGCTACTTGCTAAGAGTCTCAGAGAACTGCAGAAACAAACACAGTGCATTGTTGTTTCAATGAGGCATAAGCTAGTTTGCACAAAAATAATCCAAAAAATACCTAAGTGTTTAATACAAAAATCCTCTACTTACTAAATACAAGCCTCGACCTTTGAATAGTGTCTGATATTTTAAGCTGAAAGTCACCATCCCATTACAGATAGCAAAGAAACACTAAAAAAGAAGATGTTTTTAGACAGTACGTACTGCACCAGTCACTACTTCAGTTTTCTGATGCTGGCTACTGGATCTATAAGCAAGATGTAAGCATTAACTCAATGAGATGCCGGAGTTGCTATTTCACCTTACCAAAACCAACCACATAGGCAGCTTGGTTAGCTTTCCCATCCCCTTCAATAAAGTATTAATCCATTTTATATTCATGCTTTGATACAAATAACGTATAAAGACGTGCTGCAAGAATTTTTAAGAAGTCGCGTTAAAGCTTATCACAATTCCTGCGGTGCCGCATGACCGACTCTTCAAACCTACAAGTTTCAGAAACAACAGATATCGCCAAGATCCCGGTTTAGCATTTACACACTGTTTGTTCATTTAAGGATAGAGAAAATCCAATTATTTTGCAGAAAGCTCCAAACATTCGTACTCACCCAGCAATTATATGGGCCACTAGGTTCTTCTCACTGCCGTGAGCGGGTGTGAGATACGGTCTGGCTGCTTACATTAAAGCCAGCTGAGGGGACCACGCAGTGCCCAGCTCCTGCCAGGCTCTGCCTGCTGCTCACACAACTTATCTCTCACATTTCGACTGAGATTGATCCGCAGCGAAGGCGCCCAGAGCCAGGGGCTGGATGGTTTTCATTTGAGCAGTTTTAAAAAGCCCTGCTGGGCTACCTTTGGCATTTGTTTCCCAGCATTAGCGACTGTCAGCTTGGATTAGGCGCTCAGCCGCTGCTCAGGGCCTACGGTCAGAGGGTCCCAAGGCGAAGCAAACACATTCCCTGAGTATCATCCGTGCCGAGGCTCCTGTGAGCGTTAGGGCCTCACCTGGCTGGCAGGCAGGAGGCACAGCCAGGCCTCAGCACAGCCAGGGCAGACCCAGGGCGACATCCCAGCCGCCCTCTTTGCTCAGGGTGGCTGCACCACCTGAGGATTAAGCCCTTTTAACAAAATATTCTACCGACGTTTATTCATTTTACTGGGAGGGGAGCGCACGCCGTGCTTCAGGCTGCTTTCCAGGCACGACCCACATCCACGGCTAATTAAAAAGTCCAACGAGTATATGATATAATGATAGAGCTTGACGGCTACTACAACAAAGCAAAACGTCTCCGTGCAGTGTGTCACCTATCGGAGTGTCCTGAGGGACAGCCTTCACGCAGCTGCTGCCTGTGCAGCTGACAGCACCTCAGTAATAAGCGTTAGCACCTTGAATATACAGGGCAACATTTCAAAGTGCCATTCGAATATTAAATTTGTAGAGCAAGCAGTTTGCAGAAGGGTAAACAGGCGAGATGAAATCACCTGCTCAGGGCAAAACTGAACAGAAACAAGGCTCTGAGGTAAAAAGGAGCTGACTTGCAAGGGATCGGTAATTTATCACAAGAAACCACACCTTGTGCTCTCAAATATAAGGTTTTGTTTAGAGAAGCTAAATGAGAGTTTCACTAGCATTAAAGAGTGCCAGAATCACCTCCAAAATGTTAGCCAACTGTAATTAATCCTGAGATCTTGAAAATACCACAGCGTACCAAGCAACCTTTCCCTTTCAATTTGTGTTGACTTCAAAACCCAGCACAGATTTAAGCATGGCTATTGTCTCAGCGTTCACCAAGGTGTGGCAAGAAAGAGTGATGATCCTGCTGTGAAGATCTGCAAAATCTCGGGTGAATGCTTTCTTTGATAACCGGTAGGAGCTGGAGCTGAAAGCGCATCCTAAAGGAGCAGGTCACTGCATTCCTGCTGACCGATCCTGGCTCGGGGACACGCAGGATCAGTAACAGCATCGGATGGGAGCCCTGAGCTCCCAGCGCTTCCCCTGTAATCCTGGCAGGGAAGGCAGAAAAGGATTTTGTTATTCACAAGCTAATATTTACCATTCTCTACGTGAATTCATGCAGGCATGAAGCCCGCCTCTATAGGTTTAAGGGCTGAGATAAAATGTCACAGTTCTCGTCTATGCATTTTGTTTGGATTGTTTCACTGATTGCAGAAGTATTACTCTGGGGAATAAACTTTTATGAAAGTATTCTACTACAGGAAAGATGTTGTTCAGATACAAAACGTCTACAGCTAAAGCAGTCCCCAAACAATTTAATAAGTACAAAAAATACAAAGTTCTGCGTGACTGTCTGTAGTTCAAGGTAAAGTAGGTTTTATAAAAAAAGTCTTATTCTATTGCAAAAAAACCCACGCTATATTTAGCTAGGCCATGAACTGTATTTATCATGAGTCAGAAGTTTTGTATAGAAGCACAGTCCTAACCTTTGCCATAGCTGCAGCAGGACGAAAGGCTTACCTAAGCTCTCAGCACATTTGCTGTATAACGACAAGGGGAGCGTTTCTCTTCCCTCGACAGGCAGCAGAGCAACTCGCCACCAGACTAATAAGCGAGGCAGCAGTTTACATGTGAAAAGCACTTCTTGGTTGACCCTAGAGAACTCTTTATGATGTGGGTATCTTTATTACTGGCACAAGATTGTTTTATTAAGCGCTGTTAAGAACTGCTCCTGCAACAGCCTTTTGCTTAAAGACCGCAGATACGTTTAATGAATAAAACCGCTCCAGTTAAAACGCTGCATTTATAACCTCAGATGCAATAAAACCTTCATTTTGCTGTTATGGCAATTCAAAATATAAGAAGATGCATGCGCATCAGAATATTTTTTTCAAAGCGAGACGTGATTATGTGGGAAAAAAGGAATTAAGTCTAAGTATCGCATTTAGCAAAGACACCTGCTATTGAGCTCCTGCCATTTCCTCCGGCAGGAAACTTTCTGTACAAACAGCATCTGAACTGATGGCAAGCATTAAATCTCATCCAAAAAAGAGCAAAGAATAAATCCATACAAATCTCTAAGAAAACGCTTTCCTTTGAGGATATGCAACCTTTTTGGCAAGGTTAAAATTGATTTCTTAGCACCTTTTGGAGAACATGCAGCAGACTGCCCTGTGGAAGCAGGGCAAATATGAAAGGGATGCATCAATGGATTTTAGTGAACTATATCATAATAAAACAGCATTCCTAAGTAACCTTGGTAGCTTTCAGAAACATGAGATTTGAGTTTTGTTATAAAAATCTAAGTGCTCTTACTGCCAGTGCAGTTAGAGCCGCATGGAATTGGCACAGCCAGCCCTGGCGTGACTACAAACACACACCCGTGAAATACAATGGGCATGGAATCCCAAACCGCTTAAAGAGGGGTCAGGGAGGGAAGGGGGTGTGCGTGTCCATAAAAATCCAAGTCGGATCCATTCAAATATCACATAACCACATTTTTCTTTTTCCTTAAAAAAATATTTTCTAGCAAACCAAGAATGGAAAGAGTGATCTTCACAGAGTCGTGCTGGAGTGCTGGAAGTTTCTGAAAGCTTTAGAAGCAAAACCCAGTTCGTATTTCATCCAGTGCAGAGGGTTTGAAATATTTACCCTTTCCTTCCCACCTAGTTTGAACTACCAAAGCCGTGCTCCCTGCTCCACGTTCAGCCTGCCTGAGGATCACCTGGGGCTGGTACTGCTGCTGGTGCTGAGCGGTGCACGAGGAGCTGCCAACCAGAGCTTGGGAGAATACTGACAGGGTGAGATGCAGGTAAAACACCATTTTATACATTATCTAATCTACAGAAGACTTTGCCATCCTTCATTTGAGCCAACTATAACAATGTATTGCAGCTATCAAGGATCAAGTTATGCCTGGAGGCAATTTACAAGCTGGAGTCTTCCATGTCAACAGTTCAATCATTTAAAGAAACCTTTGTCAGAGTTAGTTAGTTTAACAACAACGAAAAAATGCAATTCTCAAGATTGTATCATATACTTAGTGATTATAGCCAACACAGGAGGGTTTCACTTTTCAATATTTCAGTTTATATTCAACTCTAATGAATAAATGCAACTCGCACCGTGTTTGGGGTGGTTGGGTGATGCAGGATGCTGCTCCTGGTCCTAGCAGCACAGCATCAGTGCCCCAAAACCCAGCCCAGCTCCTACACCAGCACCGTTACCAGCAAGAAGCCCCGAGACTGACGGGTGGCAGGCACCAGCTCTGGACCCCTTCCAAGGAAGAGACCCCTGAAAAGGGCCAGGATGAGAATTGTAGGAGAACAGAGCTCGTACTGCTGCTGTCTGTGCCCTGATGGCAGCAATCAGAGAAATGCAAAGCCCGTTTCTCAGCTGCTGAAGTCCACAACAGCTTCAATTGCCCCAGTGCAATTCCATTGAAAGGCAGCACCCAGCACTGCTGGAGAGGAAACCCTTCAAACCTTGTGGAATGAAAGCCCTTGCTAATTATTTTCCTGTTATCATGATGAACATTGTTTCACAGCAGAATAAAGGCCCTCTGAACGTGCATGGGAAGCAGGAGCCAGCTCAGTTCGACCCTTCGGGAGCCAGGACAGAGCTGCAAGGAGTTGCTGGTGCCTCTGTGCCCTTTGCTCGGCTTCAGAAGACCACAGATACCTTCCCTTGGTGGGAACCTTTGCAGGATAAACAAGTCTTTTACATCTCTTCTATTTGCAAGCATGTGAATTTGACTGTCAAGCCTGGACAAAAATGTATTAAAGCAGTCGTGAACATTACTTTCCTCCTCCAGGTATGATTAGCTGAACAAATACTAATAGCACAAGCCCTGCAGAATTAAGTCTCTCAGGTTTATGTTCAAGCCTTCTGTTTAAAAAGCTTTAGGGCTAGACATAATGTACGGGTTCTGTAGAATGAGAGAGGTGTAAAGAAAAAACTGGCTTTTAGCCTGTTTTTGGCTTTGGGGCAAGGAACTACAAAAATCCGGCTTGCACTGGCATAACACTCGAACTTTACCCCACATCTCAAGTATTTTTGGCTTTTAATCTTGTCTGCTAATTTGACAAAGTCCAAAACTGTTGGTGGCCCAGGATTTGGAAGAATTTGAAGTGACACCGTGCTGTGGCACAGATTTGCAGCTGTCATTTGTGTTTGAAAATGTTCATGTTTAGTAAGCTAGGACTTTCAAAACAGAGAAGAACGAAGCCGGGCCCTTTATACTTTAGGGCACCAGTTAACTCACTCTGGATTAGCTAAACAAACATCAAAATACTGTTTAATGGTCTCCTACTCATAAAGGCCTAAAGAGCGACACATTTTCCAAATGGCCTTCGTCACTAAGTCTTCTTACAACCTGGGCTAGCAGCAGGGAAATACAGATGGGGAGACATCGGGACAGAGGTACCAGGATTTGTCTTCAGTTCCAACTACCACCGTGCCCTCAAAACCAATGCACAGAAACAGCCCTGCCACCATATGTCTGATCTATTCGATCCCTCTCAAGCTGCTCTCTTAAAAAAGTTTTTGTCTAGCTGACATTGAAGGTTTCAGAAAGGCACAGAGGGAGGTCCAAGCACCCAGCTCAAGAGGTTTGCAGAGGAGAAGCTCGCCCGCGCGCTGCCCTACCAGCCTAAGGGGATACTATAACTTTAAACTTTGTATTTTGCAGGAAAAAGAGGTATGATTGCAATCCAGCAACAAATCACACACCCCCACATTTTCAAAATATGCCAAGATAATATTTATTAACACAGCAGGACTTACAGATCACAAAAGATAGTGATACACAGGAGCTCGTAAGGGTGTTATCAGAATAAAGCATGCAGGTCAATACTTGCAGAAGAGAGATATCAAAGCAGGTCTGAGAAGGCACATTCACACAGGAAATGTTTAGTTGAAATAAGACATTAGAAAAGCAGCAAAAAACCTGAAGTTGATTAAAATATACAGAGATCTCCAGTAATGCCAAAGAAAAAGGTACTTTACAGATTTGTAAGTGCAGCAAACTGGATAACCCTTTGAGAATACCCCCGGCGAGGTACGCTCCCACTGCAACGTTTGGCAGAACAAATTAGGTTCATATAACATGACTAGATGCTAATTAAAAATGCTTTAGTCTTGGAGTGAAACATAAATTTGGTTTAAAAGAAGCAGCCCGGTTGAACTAACAGCATGCAGGCAGTGCTCAAAGGGTTATACGAAGTATATGCAAGAGAAATCAGGCAACATTAGTATAATCTACCTTCCACACAAAGAATTATAGCAAAGTTTAAAGAGACAGTATCCCCTTCGGAGAGCAAAACTGAAAAACTTGCTTCCCTCCAGGCCAAGGTCAGCTGCATGGGAGGCAGCTTGGTGTCTTCTCGCTAATTCCCAGCACAAGCAACCTACCTGCCCATGTCCGAAAGCTACACAACGTGAAATCTCAATAGCCAAAGGATAAAAACCTCTATATCACTACAGCAGAAAAGTCTACTATTTATCAACAGCCCCCACCCCGCTGCTCTGGTTCACTCGGGGTGTTCAATATTGCTTGCAAACCTAACGGTTCCCAGTGCCTGGTCTGCCATTTCTCAGCACTGAGGACTACAAAGGGATACTGTCCCTTTTTGACATTAGATTTACAGATCGAAGAAAATGGAGGAAAAAAAAAATCTGCTTTTTAACTTAGGTAAACTTAAAAAAATAAAAAAGGACTTGAACATCAGCAGTTCATAGCTTGAAATGCATCAAACATACAGAGAGGAACACATGAGCACAGAAGTATTGGTAACAGATAGTCCAGAGCACGCTCCGCTAGGAGATTGGAACAGAATTCAGTGGAGTAAAACCCTCCTTGTGGAAAAACATCTAGCTTGGCACCATAAGAGAATACAGACTTGTTTGAGTTTAATAAAAATAGCTTCTAATTAATACTTCAAAGTTCAAAAGTTTAGCAACAAGCACATGATCGGCTAACCCCTTTAAACGACCCAAAGAAATCTTTCCTGCCACAAATGGCAATTATTAATCACTGATTTCTGTGGCAAAAGCTCACGTACCGTAGAAGAGCTACATAAGTCAAGCTACCACCAAAAGAGGCTAGAAAAATATTACGAAAAAAGTGCTTTCAAAACCAAAGTAAACATTCAAGAATACACTGTAGGTGCTACGTTTTTGACAGCTCACTCGACTTGGAATTTCACCAAGCAGTAATATGAAAATTAAATGTCTTTGCTAATAAAATTATTCCTGATATTTTGTACCCTGTTATAGAGTATCTTCCATGTCAAAGTTGCCAACTCAATTTTTTCCTCCCCTACTTAAAAATAGCATATAATGCAAAATTACAGTACTGTATATTTTCTCTACTCATATCTGCAAAAATGGAAGAATTATTTCATCTGGAAATTACCAATTCTTGCAGTAACAGCTTTTACATTTGCAGTTTGTATGCTTCCCCCGTTCAGAAAAGCCTTTGACTGCATAATACTTGTCCCTAGAACACAGTAATGGTTCCCGTATTATTGAAGGCCACAGAACATTTAACTACATCTTATCTTCCTATGTACATATGAAAAGAAAAAGCAGGACACTTGGGAAATTTATTTTTATGATATGCAATCAGATTGGAGATGGTTAATTCATTCTCTCAGGAGTACTTTCATAAAGGGAAATTAAAGAAGGTGAAAGCCTGATAAGGATAAAATAAAAAGTCCCGTGGTTTTAAATTTAGGTCCAAAAGCTATCAATCATGGTACTAGCATTTACAGACCCTTTGCACAATTATTCCAATGAGGGTATTAACTCTAAGAAGTATACACAATACCTGTAGTCCTGCAAAATACTGGCTACGCTAATTAAGCCCCCCCATAACGGGAATATACTAGTGTTATTGATTAGACAGCTTTTCATTAACAGCACAAATGAGTGTTCTGCCTACCCTTTTAGCAGCACAGAGCAGGTTAAGTCCCCGAGTCAAATGCTTTGTTGAAACCAATAAATTAAAGTGTGACTCTCTGCCATTTATCTTGTTAATATAAATGGAATGACACCGTTTGCATTAGAAAATTTTCCACGCAAATCCCTTAAGTGACGGTTGCTAACAGGTACCAGTAATACGATGTTGTCAGATCTCAAAAATAAACTGGAATCGAGTTCAAACTGCTCAATCTCTAGTCACCTAAGACAAAAATAAATAAATACTGCCCTTTTAAGGGGCTGTCGGTTAGCAGGTGCACGGATTTAGAAGCCTTTCACTACTGAAAGACCAGTGCATTATTCTGTAATTCAGCACACAGAACACTGAAACCTCCACCACCTACGTTACCAGAGCAATCTAACCAATTCCTCACCTGCTGCTGGTGGATGCTGGCCACTAACTGTTGGCAAATCCAAAGAGCTATCAGACATGACATGCTTAAGATCTCCTCCCACATCAGCCAGTTTCATGTCAAACTGAACAGACAACGCATCTTCAGAATCCTCCTTGCCAACACTGCTGCCGCCAATAGACGGGAGATCCAGAGACTTCACTGACGCAGAGTCTTCTTTGGCCTGCTTGAAAGCTGCGACTTTGTCCACCAGGGACTTATCTGTGCTGCTGCACGTGGAAGAAAACTTGTTGGAGTGAAAGTCAGCAAAATCATCGTCACTCTTCACTGAGGAAAGCGTGTTGTCCTTCCCCTCCTCAAAGCCTGCTCCAGAGCCTTCCAGAGAAAGCTGTTTGAAGATATCGTATTTGGTGGGCGTAGCAGAGGTGGCTGAATTCTGCCCACTCTTCACCGTGCTGGCAGATGAGCCGGGCTGAGGAACAGGGCTGGCCTCTAGCTTAAGTGCATTGTATTTGTCGTCTGGTTTTTGTTCAGAAAATCCACCGCTATTGTTGAAAGCCATAAAATCTGCAAAGTCATCTTGTCCACTGGCTGATGTGCAATTAGAAAATTCCCCAAAAAGGTTGAACTCTCCAAACTCATCAGCTAAGCTTCGAACTTTTGCTAGGTGCTGGCTGCGCAGTGGTAGATGGAAGTGGTGGTGGAGGAAAGGAGGAGGACGATTTTGACGCGTTAAATGCAGGCGGGAAGGAGAGCTGCTTGTTTTCTCCAGTAGAGGAAAAAAGATCCAAGTCTGCTAGATTCAAAGAGGGCTTAGCTTGTGTTTGCTGTTTTGACTGAATAGGCAAAGAAGGGAAGGATGTAGGGAAAGTTTTGTCTTTTGTAGGCGGCTCTAATGGTGGGATACTGTCGGCAGTTTTAAAATCTGTGAAGCCATCATCGGTTGCTGCAGACTTGAATTCTGCAAGGTTATCTCCTGACGGAAGAACAATGAAAAACAACACAGTGGTAAGATACTGCAGTGACAACAAATACATCATATCCATACCATGCAAGCAAGCAAATTATTTCATGCAATGTCAGAAAGATTTTATGCAAACTATTTAAATTAAGACCTCGGGATGCACGTAGAACTGCAAACTCAACTTGTATAAACCACACAAGTTTCAGGGTCAGCGATTCTAACAGTCATTCCAGGGGAAAAAAAAAAAAAGAAAAAAAAAGTCTTTCATATAGCCTCAAAGTTACATTAAATTCCCTTTACAATGAGTTGATATAAAAACACACCATGACCAATAGATTCAAAAGGTGATCAGCTGTCTCATTCAGCTCCTGCATAAGGCTGTTTCCCCACTTCATCCTTCTCACGTTTGCCAAGCAACAAACATAACCCCAAATTTGACTTATACCAATATAGCATTTGCTTTCTTACAGAAGCAGCTCTCCCTGCCTCCCTTTGACATACTGCACAAATGTAGTGTCTTCATGGGATGTCAGCAGAACGTTGAGACAAAAGCATCCCTGCTTATAAACTGGAAGGGGAATGTAGGAGGGACCAACTCGACTTCTGAAAGTATAAACTGGCTTAAAAGAAGACAGCCAGCCAAACAAACCTACCCAGTGGTGCAGAGGGGGAACCCAAAGGGTGGAAGAGACAAGCCACAAGCAAAACAGAATGCCAGGCTGTCATCCTAATAGGTTGTTTTAGGACACTTATAAAGCTCTCATTTTTAATCCATCATTTTTTCCTTCTGACAGTGTCAGAACTTCAGTAAATGCAGTAACTCAAACATCTAACTTCTGTTTTGAGTGCCTACAGTTTGAGTAGGGAGCTTGGAGATGGACTTTCACATGAAAATGAGCATAATTAATCATAAAATGTGAAAATACCCAGAAACTATATACTGAATGTAAGGTTGTGCTGCAATAATTTAAACCTATTTAAACACTAGGTAACAATGTTTTCGTTGGATTTACATTAAATATTTTGGTGTAGTAACTTTATAGCTTTCTTCCTATTTACATGTTTTTGTTTCTTTTGCACATGAAAAATAACATGACAAATATTGAGTTGTTTAACCCATTCACCAGCATATATTTACATAGATCATTTGTAATTTCAAAGTATTTATGCGTATCTTATGACAAGCATCCAACAAACAGATTTTGTTCAAGTTTAGAAATACACCATTACCCTTTAAACTAGTTTAACCAAAATTTAAAAGACTGCTCCTTACAAGGGTAATAGAAGACTGTGACTATAGCTGACATTATTCCATTCTCCTTTCCCTCCAAACCAATTCGCTTGGCCCAACAACGGCAAAAGTATGTGTGAAATTGCTATCCATTCATCAAAAAATGAAACATCACAGCAAACTACACTTACTGATGGATTGCAAACTTTTCCATTAGAAATGTAAGCTGGTGAAAGGGAGAGACTGCTTTTGTAATTACACAGATATTGCATCTCACATGCCATCTAGGTTTTACTTTTCCCAATCAAGAAAAAAAAAATTAAACACAAATTTAAAAACAAGTGACCATATTTATTCTTAGAGCAAAGACTGTGAAAGATTTAAACTCTGCCCTAACTACAGAAAACGTTGCAATTTTGTCCAGAAGCATCTTACTCTACTGCCTTCTAAGAATATGTGATTCCTTACTTAAAACAAACTCCAACTATGTTGTCATTTTAAAATGAGCCTCAGAAGCATCCAAAAAAGATGCCAATCTTCTAGAAACAGTTTGTAGACTGTTCAGAGAGTATACTGATATTTCCTGTCAAGTTGTTCAGAGGAGCAGAAGGACCATTATTCTGGAATCCTAGCAATGGAAATTCTACAGTTCATAGAGAACTACCAAAAAAAAGAATCATGAAAATATGTTAAAGCATCTCCAAAAATACATACTGCTTACCTATGTATTTGGTCTCTGATGGTTGTTCTAATTCACGGAAAGCACTATACTTGTCCCCACAGTCTAGTGAATGTGAGAAAAGAAATTTGCACAAAGTTATGAACTTGTATCATAAATTTTACATTGGCATAATTGCTCTGACTTTTTACATTAAATTTTAATAAATGCCAGAAACTAGATATGTGAAACATTGCAATACGTTGTTCAGAGTAGTTGCGTATTTTTCCTTTTACCTCCAAAAGTAGCTGTACTTTCAGGCTTCTCAGCTGCAATTCCTTTAAACACAGCATACTTATCAGTTGATGAGAGTGTCTTATTACCTGGGAGTGGCATTAGTAAAGAAGGAACACTAGAAACAAAAGAGATAAAAGCAAAGTTCCTTAATTTATCCAGAAGAAATATATGGTTTCAGGTTTTATTTAAAGGACTTTATGACTACAGCTTGGATCACTGAACTTAAGCTTGTACCCTACAAAGTTCTGAATCAGAAACATTATGGAAACTACCTCATATCTATCAAGAGTAAGAGCATGTAAACAGGTAGTTGCTGTTGGGTAACTGATGGAAGAATTTGCACTTTATCTCACCTAACTGCATTTCTGTAGGCCAGAAGTCAATTTTCACCTTTATTGATTTTGATTTGTAACAAAGCATGAGCAAAAAACTCCAAAACTTTCCACCACAGGAACTCTTAGCCTACGAGAGGATAGACATACCCCAAGAATCACTGATGTTTCATTTAGCACTGTGTCCAAGGCAGCGTAAGGACTGTTCTCTGGTAGAAGTAGCTATAGTAGAGTCAAAACTGCATGAAGTTTTTCCAGCTCCATGCTTCCCAGCTTATCAACTTCTGATTATATTATATTGCAAAATTAAGAGAATAAAGCAGAACCACTGTTCAAAGTGAAGTAAAAGAGAACTTTGAATTTCTGTCAGTGCAAATCAGCATGTTTAGGTAACCATCTATTCAGCAACATCAGGATTATTCCACAGTTACATAAGCAAATCTTTTTGCACATAAACACACTTTACTTTATATAGTAAAACTGCCATAATAACCTAACACCATGTTAGCAATTGCTGAAAGATTTAGAAGATGCTCTGTGAGAGCTTTGCTTGCCCTCCGCACAAGCCTCCTTATCAGACCTTGGCAGCTCTACAGAACAACATCCTTTACATATGAATGATGCATTTTACCTCTAGTTTATGTCATTCAATCCTATACACATTGAAAACGTGAATGAATTTCTATGGCATTCTTTGGCCTGAAGCAAGAATCTTTCCAGAGCCATTTAAATCTCCTTATCAGCAGCCTACAAGCAACATACAGACCTACCACTTGCACACACGTGCTAATGATGGTCTGTGATGCTTGCAGACAGAGCAGCGTCAAAAAAAATATAGCTTATGGTAATTTAATTAAATTTCACATCACTGCAAAACAGGCTATTACATATGCAATCTTGGCAAATGTAATGGTTAATCATCTGTACTCTACAGATGGCTTTTTTTTAAAATAAAGCTCCATAAGCAATTAGATTATAGCTCATTGTAACATTTTGTTCAAAAACGAATGCTTTTACAACAGAATAAAGAGAACTGCTGCAATGAAACACCTTTTTTTTTTTTTCCCCTTACGATCCCCTACTTCCCACTGTGGAATTTAAAAACAGTGTTTCTGCTAAAACTTTCACTAACAGAATGGCTTTAATTACAAAATGACGTCTAACGCAAATTAAGATATACTTAAAATAGAGCACCTTCAACTACACATGGCATTAGTGATTGACATCAGCAAAATTAAATTCCTTACATGGAATGTCATTAGGCACAGTGTAACTGAACGATCTGTTTTAGTATCCCCAGCTGATGTCACTGTTGAGGAAGCAACCGGTAATCACTACTTACCTGGAAAACACTCGTTCTATTTGCAGCTAAGAAGAGATAGTTCAGTACGTGGAAAAGTGGTATGTCTACAATTAGCCATGTGGGAGCTACACAAAAAAACTTTGCCACATGCAGTAGAAGTAAACACTTTGTAATTTTGTGATCATAGAACTTTGGAAGATTAATTTTAAACTCTCAAAGGAAGCAAGCATGCATATTTTATTGTACAAAATCTGCCTGAGCCAGAATTACATTTTGGCAGTCTCCCAGATGAAGAGCCAAGATTGCTTAAGTCTACATAAGATTTCAATTCAGATTTATATTCAGCTATCAACAACGTACATGCTAGCCAGAGAAATAACAAAAACCCTGTCCACTAAAGTTCTCTGTCATTTAAGAGTACAATGTCATGCTTTTTGCGTGAATTCCAGGGTCCATATTCAGGGCCTGAAAAAAGACCTTGATGTCAGCAAATGGTTTCTGTCAACTCCAACAAACACTGGGTCAAGCTATTAATGGAAGCACACAACACTAAATGCAGAACCCCCCTGTCCTTGTGTATTTTTTTCTGAATAGATTTATGTAAGATTTTTGCCCAAATGCACAGTATGAAGTAACTTTCAATTGTCTGTGCAGTAGTGTAAACACTTGAAAACCTAGCCCCACACCTTGTATATGCAATTTACCTCAGCATGGTGACTGGAATGGTAAAGAATGGCCAACCACCTATGGCACATCAAATGTCATTTTTGATTCAGAAAGCCTAATTGTAGTTGTAACAACCTTCAGAAGAAATTGTCAGAGTAGAAGTCATGTGACAGAAGAAAATTACAGGCTAGAAAGCTACCCACAAAAGAGGAAAGCACTTCATTTCTTAAAAGAATTCTAAAATACTGAAGGGGTGGAAATCAAAAGATCTGCTACCTGCTCCGATGCTGTGAACTGGTTGCTTTGGAGGAGCCAGCTCCATCCCCTTGGAAATCAGTGAAAGATTCATCTAGTGAGCCAGACTTTGAAGCATCTTGAAACTCTTGGAAGTCATCATCTTCTGGTTTTACTACCTGCATTGCAAATAACATGTAAATTGATATACTGTTGTCTCTCCAAATTGTCATATAACATGAAAGTAGATCAGTAATGTGATACACTTCAAAAACAATCAACAAAACCACAACCCTTTCAACATTAGTAAGCAAAATTAGTATGGTCAGTGTTTCCACTTCACCTGTACCTCACCCAGTCAACACATACAAGGTGTATAGGATTACAGATAGTATGCATGAAGAACAGCTGAGTAAGGAACTCTATTCCCTTCACATTAAATGTATTATTGATCGTAGCCATGTAATCTTTTAATATAGGATAACTATTAATAATTTAAATCAGTCAATAACTTAAATCAATAGATACATAGAGCAAGACCACCAAAAAGATGAACCATATTTGCAAAACAGCAAAATTGATCTCAACATGATTTACAATGTTGTAAAAAAAAAAAAAAAAAAAGGTTTTAGTTTTTATAGTTTGCATCTTCTCCCAAAAACTCTTATTTCTAACTATTCTGTAATCTAGCAGAGTCTCTCATGTAGTTTAACCTAAAATTCCGTTTTTTGTGCATTACGAAGTCCTAACTAAAATTCTCTTTCAATTTCAGTTTGTAATGGAGAAAGTTGTACCTCTTATAATGCTACCAGAAAGAAATGGAAAGAATAAAAGGACATTCACAGTGGCATGACTTCACATTTTTAGATGCCACATCCTGGATTCCAGCTTTTTTTTGTTCTGCTTACTTAAAGCCTGTTGTCATTACGCAGCTTTGAAACATTCAGGCTACTTCTCTTTCCAGGACAGCATTTGCCACACAACAGAGCGAGCTCTAACCTGACTTGGCGGGTAGGATGGCATGAAAGCTCCCGAAGGCTGTGCTGCAGCTCCACCCGCTGGTGCCGTTATGTTCATTCCTATCACAGCTGGTCCCATGCTAAGAGGCATGGAGACAGGTGGTGGTCCAGAGGGCATCAGAGGCTGCTGGCTTACTGTGGCAGGCAGCGGCATCGGAAATCCAGTTAAAGTGGGGACAGGGGCAGCTGGAAACTGGTTTAACACATCAGGACTCACTGCAGGTATTCCTCTCTGCAAAGGCAGAAAAGCAAAGACAACTGTATAGTACACATCAGCAAAAAGGCATATTGCATTCTCACTCCTAGCTCTAGCTTGTATTATTGAAACCATGAAAGAGCAGGGTTCTGCTCCAGCTTCAGTTAGATCTTCTCAAATGGAAAAATGTGACCAAGAGCCTATATAAACAAAATGAATCCTATTCAACACCCTGACTGCTGGAGTTACACCGAGGTCAATGATACCCACCTGGGTGAGCAGAGACATTTGACAGCATTTTTGTTCAGCTTTTAGTAAATCAGTCTAGCATGCACAGGCAAGCTAAGCTATGCTGAACTTGGCATGTGCTATATAGTCCACTCCCACGAGATCTTCATTCCTCAAGATACTTTCCTCTTAGTTTTCATACAAGGCTGGTATTTAGAAGTAAATGGTAAGAGATGATACTATGCTGACAAAGAATTGAAGACTAAAATTCACACTCCACTGGCTCAGGAGAGAGGTAGCAAGCAAGGGCTAAAATTACAGTCCTACTGAAGTTACAGGGGAAGCTTCTCCTCTGGACTTCAAAAAGTAGTATTTTATTTTATTTTTTACAGCTGTGGCTGTAAAATTTGTGCTAACGTGCAATCAGTCTATGGCAGATTAGTTAAGTGAATTACCTTTTTGCACTAATCCCCAAAGTCTTAGACGTACCTGTGTTACCGCTATCATAGCCAGGACGGAGTACAGCTCTTCTTTCGTGAGCTTCCCAGGGGTGGTACGGTTGGCTAAAGCCCATATTTGTCCAAGAGTCTCTCTGGGCAATCCAGACGACATCAGGATGGGATACAGCTTAGCTGTATCTATTCCAGCAGGAGTCAAAGTGGTTTCTAAAATTTTCTTATACAGCTCTGTTAAGAGGGAGTCAGTGTTAGGCAGTGACAACTGCTGTTTCCAAGCAAGTTTAAGACTGCATTTCTACTTTATCTCAAACTCAACATTATAGCAAATTAATAACATTCTAAAGTGTAAGGTAAGGCAGCAACATTCTGGTGTTGTATGCCATCATCACTTCTAATCTAAATGTGTTATTGGAAGATCGTTATGCACAAGTTTAAAACAAGCAAAGAAGAAATACTTTATACAAAATACATTTAGTGCAAAACATGTTTCTTTAATAAAATTGTAGGATAATACATATAAAAAGATATTTATAAAAGTTTTATGTATTTAAATCTCAGTGTAATCAATATTAGCATGGTAAACAGAAAATGCAATGCTACAGTAATTTGCATGTATAAGATAAACAGCCTTAAGAAATGGGCCTCCTCAATTAAAAGAGATGCCAGAAACAGGCTGCCCATGAAAGCAGTCTTATTAGCAACAGCGACCTCTAACATAATCTGCTTTCATTAGAAATTTTAGGTTAAGGATTTAGCATGCTTGAAGAAAATCCTTTCTTCAAATGTAGATGAAGCCACCATAAATGTAACATATCAGAAACGCAGGATTCGTTTGATAACTGAAGAAAAATGCTTAAAACCAATAAACAGTAATGTAAGCTCACCAAAACATTCACACCTTACATTGCCCACTTAGTTAAATGCCCACTTTCACATTTACCTGGGACCAAACTATCGTTGTAAATCCAAGGAGGCAACATTTGCTGAATTGGGTCCTGTGAAGGGAATACTCCAACTCCTAAACGCGTTCCATTTAGTAGGAAAAAGAAAGGCACAGTTGTATTAAGACGCACAGATTCAGAGTATAAAGGTCTTTGAGACTAAATCATAGTTTGGCGGCATCATTTAGCTTTTCAGGCAAAGATTTCAGATAGGAATCACTGTGCTCAGAGGAAAAACAGCCACTGCAGAAATACACGTTTCGACATAACTAGAATGATTTGGGGGTAACAGCAAGAATACAGTTATATACACAATGAAATAAGGAGCTCCTCATTTGCTGAATTTCCAGTTGTACAGAAGCTCAGGTCTCGTTGTCTCTTAAAATTGCTTAACAGCAGCAATGCAATATCAAACTAACCTTCCCGTCAGCTGCCTGCTATTAGGACTACTTGTGGAATAAATTAATACCTTCCAAAAGCATAAGAACCATTCACAACATTCCTCCAGAAAATCCTTAGTGGGGAAACCCACAAACAACCTATTATATTGAATCTCAGCAAGATCTTTTCCCATGTTCCCAAAAACTTAACCATTGCCTCATTGCTCCTACACTTCAGAACCAGAAGGCATCACAGCTGCCTTCACTGCCATGAGCTTCTGTGTGACCTGCCACAACTCCGTCCCTGTGAACTGATTGCTTCCTTCTCCACTACATTAACTCTTCCCCTTGGTCTCACATTTACATCCCACCTAGCTCCTCCTGAGCAGATTTTGTGCTCATTTTTATGGAACATGAGAAACTCAAAATAATTTTGGATTTCATGGTCTTTTCTACTCACTCTTTCCCAGTGCACCTCGTCTTCCACATGGATCATCTCCTGACTGCAATCTAATTTCTAATCATCCTGTAACTCCAAGTACATTTTAACAATCGATTCCTTCCATTTCTCCACCCAAGGAAAATAAATTTTCTATTTTCTCCAATTTCATTGTTGTTATTCAGCTTTAACCACTCTTCCACAGTCACATATGCACAGACATTTATCCAATTCTTGCTTCTCACCCTTGAATCTCTGATAAAATTCAGCCCCTACAAATCAAATAATGAGAAATGAAAAGGAGTTCTGTCATATTTAGTTGATAGATAAGTGAGTCTTATTCAAAATGCTGATAATATCCAGATGGCTAAAGGTCTGCCATTTTTCAACTTTATCACTTAACTACTGAACTTCTGTTCCTCACAAAGCACTTCAGCTCATCTTTCAGAACACCCTTTACAACCTTTAGACGTATTCTTAACCATTGTTGCTCTCCAATTGTATTGAATTTGTGCAAAAACAATGCAATTGACTGAACTATGAATAAATGAACAGCTCCTATTTCATTCTGCAGACTCCTTAAAGTCACCTTTAGCAATTTACTGTGTATTAAAAAGCCCCTCCATTATTAAAAATGTCTATTCAAACCATTTAACTTCATCCAATATTAAAACAAACAAAAACTCATTGGATAAGAAAATATTTGAAAGCAACATACCCAGTGACTGAGAAGAGGAACATACAAGATTATTAATAAAAAGTCATGGTACCTCCAGGCAAAAAATAATTGCTCGGGAAAGTGCCTAATTCAATTATCTACACACCAGAAGCTTTCTCTCACTTCTCTGTCTCCTCTCACCCTCCAGTAAAGTGAGATGACAAAAAGGGCTACATTTATTTTTATCATACTTGACTACACTTGAGCTCAGATTTCATGTAACCCTTGAATACAACATCAGAGCACTTACCGAGGTGTACCAGATACCTTGCATTTATTTTGATTGAAATAAAACAAAACCAAACATTTAATGGTCAGCTTTAATAAAATCAAAGCTGGAACTAAAGCTGGTCCAGCTTTTGAAATGTTGGTCTGTAAAACACAGTTTTAAATGTAATACATATGAACGGCAAACTGTTTGGCAAATAAGCATAAGTGAGCTAAGAGCCTTAGGCTAACAAGATTTTATCCTTTCAAATTTAAAAGATGGAAAATAACCATGACGTTGACCATCTTTAAATAAAAACATAACATTTCTAATTCTCCAAGAAAGAGGACAGAACGTTGTAAAACAGAAGACCTGATTAAACAAACGTGTTAAAAGTGATCACAGCAGTAAACTCACGTGGAAAAGTTCAAAGCAAAATCACAGCTGTTACTTTTAGCATAGAGCAGGAGGCCCTGACATTATTCAAGCAGGCGTTCAGAGCAAAATTATGCAGGATTGGTCTTAGAATTAGTGTACAGAGTGTTAGCGTTCAAGCAGCGTCTTATTAAGTTCTGTCAAATGTTTCGTTTGCTCACCACACTCTTCAACTGCTATGTTTTGTTCTGAAGCCTTGTGCGCCTCTGCAGCTGTGGCACCACTTTCGTGTCCACCTACAACATCCCAGTCATTGATGCCTAGACTGGGGTGAACTTGTCCCGCAGCTGAGGCTTTGTGCCCAACTTCAGATGTTTTAAGTTTGGTTTGCTCTTGTTCAGATTCATTTGAGCCATTATCTAAGACTTTCTCCAAGGAAGAGCCTGAATAAACAGCAGGAGGAATTATTTATATTTTGTTATTAATCACCCAGACTGTAATTCCACACCTTCAGACAAAAGTATTATTGGTACCACTGACAAATGCTGAAGAAAACCTGCTCCATCTCAGAACAGTAGCACCACCCTATTCAAACACTTCTATGGTCTGATTCTGCTTTTCACTTACCATGTATACACAACAAATTCAACTAACAAGAAGCAGTGAGTTGGGAATAGATTAAACTATTTTCTGTATTAGGAATACTGTTGCATAATCATCTGTGCATTGGTAGCAAAAGCACGATTTAAGGCTCAGGTCCAATATTTACATAAGCAAAATTCTTCACATTAATCTTACCAACATCCACTTAGCCTCCAGGAGAGGAAGCACATAAGTGTTCCACATCAGCGTAAGTTATTTTTTATACCACCATTTCAACGCTTCTACTACATGTACTTAAGATGATGTTAGTACACAAGACTTAATTCACTTAAGATCAGACAGATGCATATTTAGCCATCTTCAGATCCACACAGGACTTGCTTTTACAGTGCAGTTCTAAGGGAAGCAGGAAGGGGACTCGAATCATCTTTCCCTGTGGATCAGCAGGTTTCTACTTAATTGAATGTATATATATCTTTCAGAAAGAAAAAAAAAAACAAAAACACTAAGGCTCTCCATAGCTCTATGACAGAAGGTGATATTAAAAAAAAATAAAATACTTCAGAGTTACCTGTTTTATGGATATTGGGTGAAGATGCAGAGGTAGGAAAATAAGGAACCTGCCCAATTGTACCATGCAGGATGGATAACACTGGAGTCTGGGCTGGAGGGAGAGGCTGACCCACAGCCTTTTCTGAAAGGAGTTGCCCAACCTCAGTACCAGAATGGAAAGGCTGAAAAGGCTGAGAGGCAGGCTGAGGCACCAGTTTGGGGATTTCAACAGGCCCTTGTATAAAATCACTAAATTCTTCATCATCGAGAAAAGCAGAGTGGGAAACAGATACAGCAGAATGGGATGATGTGGGATGATCTGTAAAATGCAATGAACACAACACAAAGTGATGAGGAAGAAGGTTTTTAAGTGGAAAGGTAGGAAAAATGGCAAATACTAGCTAATCGCAACAAATGGGTGAGAAGAAATGGCAACTTGACAGAGATGAGAACAGCGGTTACTGTCAGCATAAACACGTGAGGTAAAACTGAGCAGCCACTTCCAACCATGCATCTTCTCTCCCAGACTTTTAAAATGTAAATACTTTGATTGAAGCTTGATTCTTAACACTGGCTATGAAAGTATTCTATTTGTTTTAAAACAGACGGGGTCAGAATAAATCAAGAGGTGATATTTCAAATTGGACATCCTCAGAAACTCAAAATGCATTATGAGATACAAAAGAAATGTATATTCATTTAGACAGTTTTCTGCTCAATCCCTTCCTTATTTACCCATTTTAACAGAACTGATATAGGGTGGGCAAATCAACAAACCATAGGAAAATGTCAGAAAACACTTGTAACTTCAGAATTATCAAAGAGTAAATCCACAGCAGAGAAAGATTTTACATGGGAGAAAACTTATCTAGATGAGCTTCATTTCAGGCATAAAGCAAGCTATATTATAACCCTCAGGAAATCTTTAGTAATAATTATTAAGAAGTACTAATACCAAAGAGGTATTATTGTACTAATACAAAGAGAGAGTACCAAAGGCTTCAGTTTGACCATACCAAGGCAATGGTACAGAAGTACTATTGCAGTACTTAGAAGTTTTTACACAATGTTTTGATCATTCTTAACACTTATATGGCATTTCTCAGCTTCAAAAGCACTCTGCAAAACATTAATTAATGCTTTGAAGAGCAAAGAACTCAATTATATCAGTTATAATGGAAAGATAAAGAAAGTTACTATCCCTGGCCTGAACATCCATTACCAATTCCCATGATATTTCACATTAATCATTTCATATTACGCTCTCTTTTGAAGATTATCAACTCTTCTAATAAAAGCTGAAATCTAATATTTTACCCTGATAACCTGAGTGAGTAAGCAGTTGCTAGGATGACACATTATTTTACAAAACATTAATTCATTCACTTTACACCACCAAATTAATACTTCTTTCAATTAGTTCATCCTGCTGAGGATTTCAAACATGAGTTTTATTTTCAGCTGGAAGATAGGAAAAATGACAAACCTGGCTTTTTTGGGTGTGACGCTGGTGTTGGGTGCATCTTAGCATCTCTAGAAAAACCATCTAAATTTCCTTTAATGGCTTCCAGTGCATCATCCCTGCTTTTTTCACCTGCCTGAAACACGACAGAACACTTTTTGAAAAATTCAGAGCAGAACTCAGTTTTCTTTCAATGTCCACACTTGTTCAGTACAAAATCTAGCAATGCCTGCTGTTAGATTAAAGCTTTCCTCCTCCCGCAACACCTACTTGAAGCATATTAACATCAGCTCCCATATTTAGAAAGCCATGTATTTTGCAGACTACACAATAACAACACTGCTCAGTTTTAGACCTGTGCTTTATGTACAGGAACAATGCAGAAACCTCACTCGACTATTTGGAGTCTTGCAGATACGAGTCTTTAAGCTCACTAGAAGCGTTCAAAACTTTGGATAAAGTTAACAAACAAGCCACCAAACACTCTGTTTTAGAAGCCTCGGTCTTCCAAACGTTACATGCAAGGTTGGTTTAAATTTATTTTTTCAAAGGTTGGTTTAAATTTATTTTTTCAAATGTTGATTTCATTTTCAGCGCCAGCTTTTGTTTACATTATACAAAGAGCAAAAAAGGACTGAATATTCCAGATGCTTTCAAAGATCTAATCTGATGTCTCATGCAAGTTCCCCACTTGCTTACTTGCCAGCCAAAAAAGAGCGCCCCATAAAAGCCATTAAAAAAAAATAAAACTGAAGAAATGAACATTGCAGTTATTATTTAGGCCATACCTTAGGTTTCACACTGCTCAGGAGCCTCAACTTTTGCTTCTGCTCTTCAAACTGGCGCCGCTTTCGTTCTTCTTCTAAGAACTTCTGCTGATGCTCAAACCTCTTTCTGAAGCAAAATAAGAAAAAAAAATCAAAAAATAATTTCATTACAATCTTCAAGTCAACCTTCTGCTCAGTTTTTCCACTTCTGTCTTAAATTCAGATGGCTTGGTACACACATTTCCAGTTATCCTCTGAACTGTACAACAGCCAAAAATATTCTATACCCCTAAATGGACTTTTTTTACTAGAGAAGCTACCATTAATATTTTTGCTGTGTGGACTATACCTCCAGACTATATCTACCTCTTAAAAAAAGAATTTCCCAAGAGTAAATAAAGTGTCACTTACTGCTGTTCTTCTGCAAACTGCTTCTGCATGTCAGGGGTGTACTGCGGGGCTGCTGGACGCATTCCCAGGAAAGAAGCCTGGCCCATGTAAGGCATTCCAGCTGCTGGCATCGTACCCAAGGGCATGCCCCCCTGCAACAAAAGAAATATTACAGCTCCTACATCTTTTTTTTCTTGCTCACAAATAAAGGCAAACCACTGAAAAATGCACCATGCCAGACTATGAACTAGCTCTCCTAAAATTAAGAGCATTAGGAGTGCTGGATGAGCAGCCTCTGAGCACAAACTGTCACTGAACAAAGCGATGGTCACTCAGTAGATGGCACTCTTCCCTCCCAATAATGATTACAGTTCTTAAAGGATTTTAGACAGTGCGATGGCCTGCTGGTCAAATGCAAAAAGCAAGGCTTCAGATCCACACAATCTACCTCAAAGGAAGGAACATTACAGGCATTCTACACATGTGCTTTTTATTTAAAAACACGTATGGTTTTTTTTGTTTGTTTGTTTTTTACGGGTTACTTTTGTTTATTTATTTATTAAGTTTTGTTTCCTGCTCTCAGTGATTGCACAATACTTTTTGAATTCCATGCTAAAGGTGCGTACTCCTAACCAATAACAGATGCTGGCAAGACCTGGTCTGGTCACTTTGCAAACAAAGCTTATCCAGGGAACCAACTGAGGGAGAAAGCATACAGCAATAGCCAAGAAAAAACTTGTCTGAATAAACTGCATGCATAAGAGAAATATTTGCTGATATACAGTTATAGCAACAAGGCTTGCCTAGTGTAGAAGGAGCCAGAAATTAAGTTATTTCTATTACGAGTCATTTTGTGTTTGGTATCAGAACATGTAGGAAGAGAATAAAGGCTATTATTTTTAGACCAGCTCTCATAAAACCATCTTCCCACTATAAACCTTATAAAATTAATGTAATAAACTCCAGGTGGGGGTGGGAAGGGAGGGGAGCATAAGGAGATGGCAAGATGCAATATATTCTGGTTGTCACAGCAATTTGGTTACAAAGCCACACCAATACATTAAATTTCAGCAAAGTGCAAATTTGCACATAAGAACAGATGGTACTAAACAGAAAACAAATTATTTAAAAAAATAGAAAATATTGTACTAGCTACTCATGCTTTGTTCTTATTCCCCAATTAGTAACAATAAAGAAAATGTTGCTTTAAGCAAGAAAAAAAAAAAGTAACATGGGAGCTAGGAAAAATGGGAAAACTGGTGTGAGAAAATACAGAACATTTATGAGACCCTTTGTTCCCTATAACAAGGTATTTTAAAATAAATTTTATGAATTGCCACTTACATTTAAAATATATATTTCTATTAACTACAGCATTTGAATTACAAAAGGCTAAACAAAATTCAGTGAGTTGGTCATGACTGGACTGCACACACAGTCACTTCATAACAGTTTGCAAGGGTCTCAGTTAAAATCCTGCACAAAATGTCACCTTAGCAGTAAGTACGTGAAACCAAAGCAAAAGAAAAAGCACAAAGGAAAATTAAAAGGCAGAAGGGACGTGCTGTGGGAGTTTTGAATTATAGTTATTTAACAACCCAATAGTATTGCTAACCACACTCCGGAGTAGGTGGCATCTGATAGCTTTTCAAGATCTTGCTGATGTTTTTTTCTCTTTCCTGTTCAGAAACCATGATTCTTATCACACTTATAATGAAATGAAAGTTTCAGATTCTGACAACTTTGAGTGGATTACAACAGTCAAGACACGTTAAGTTTAACTGATGCCATCCTTGCATTTCTCTCCACTCTACAACTGTGAGTAAAGTTTGCCAAACTTCCCCACTCTCCCTACCCAGATCCCAAGGAAACCTGGAGAATTCATTAAATACCAGAAATATCTTCAAAGAGAATAATTTCAAATACGACGTCCCACTACCAACTAACACCCACGCTCCAGCTTCCAGCCAAGTTCTCCCCTCTCATCTCCCTGCAGTTGTGAGAGGGAAACAGCGCCAGCTGCCACCTTTCAGTCGTGCAAAGCACCTCATCTCAGTCGTGTTTCACTGCCACACACCTGCATGGCCATAGGTCCGGGAGGCATCTGAGACCCGTAATTCATTCCCATCATGCCTGGCATGTTGGACTGCATGACAGGAACCATTGGAAATCCTTGCTGTTGCATAGGAATCATCCCTGTAATAAAACATTACACAAAGTAAGCACCTAGTTAGTGTCAAAGCTCTGCATTTTGTTTAGTGTATAAACTGAACCACCACAGCAAAGCAACTGCAAACAAATCTCAGGCTTGCTGGACCGATTCAGAAATAAAAACCAGGCTGCACTGCAGGCAGCCACAGGATTTCCTTAAGCTAGATACTGGTCCGTCTAAGGGAAGAAATGTTTTGGGGTTTGTCAGTAATTTGTCATTTTTTGTCAAATGACAAATTGTCATTTGTCAGTAAAGGATAAATTTAAACAAAATTGGACAAATCAAGATGGATTTTATTAATTTGCTGAATAAAGACAAACGGATTACGTTTCAGGATCTTTGTATCTCATTTTGCTACCTTGGGAGTCCTGCACTAAGAAGAAGCACACACTTGCTACCAGCACCCCCTGAGACGATTAGAACAGAGCATCCCATGCAAAAGCACTCCAGGAGGGCCACAACGAACTCAGAAGTAACTCATAAATCAGTTCCTGACCCTTTTAATACGATAATGGCCACTTCCCCTTCAAGTTCCCCTGTATTTTCCATTAATTAAACAAACAGCTCTGCAACGTGAATGAGAACAAAGGCAATTCAAGGTTGTGGCTCTCCTATTGTATTAATACTTTCACACAGGTTGTGACTCTTGTCCCGGGGTCTTGCTGAGCTTTGTAAATATTTACCAGGCCTTGCAACACCCACACAGTATGGGTATACACAGCTGGTGGGTGAAGCAGAAAGAGGTTAAATGCCACACTCAAAATAATAAGAATAAAAAAAAATCGTAAAGGCCAATTCAGGTTCAAACAACCCAGAGATGTAGTTTTTCTGGATCTTTAACCTTGCACTCAGGTAACACTACTACTTTGATGTTGCACAGAAAGTTTTATAAATAGAGTTGTAAGATTCAACTTCCCAGTATTGAACTGAAGGGGGGAAAAAAACAGCTAAGGAGTTCACTTAATAATCCCTCTTCTGAGCAAAATCATTAAGTAGAAGTTCCTTGAAGTTGGTTAATGTATCTAAACAAAGTAATGAAATCAGTGCTCACAACTTTAAGTTCACACATACCTTGAGGGGGGCCCAAGCCACCTGCGACAGGAAACATGAAGCTGGAAGAGGAGGAAAAAAATGGTACATGAAAGTCTGTGATTTGAGCGCAAATATAAATGAACGAAAAAGTTACCTCGACCTGCACGTCAACACCACCACCCTAAATCTCCCCCATTCTGGTCAGCACATCCATCTGCTGCTGCTGGTCTCACAGATGAGATGCCCGCTAAATTACACAAAAGCACCCCTGCCGGAGATCCCCCGAAACCACCCGGGCTGCAGAGCGATGGAGGATAAGATTTTATCCTCCATAACAGCACTAAGATGGTTTTGACTCATCCACATCACCCACAGGAGAGCTCTCAGCACCTACGCAGGTTGGGAAGAGGTCAGTTTGTTAATTTGGGCTAGGCCTTGGAGCACTGCAGAATGAATAAGCATCTCCTGGTGGAAGCATCTGATTCAGCAAGACCATTAACCGCACCAGCAAGCAGCCCTCAGCTCCTCAGTAACAATTTCCTGCAGAGAAATAAACCGCCCGTGAGACCCTACCATGTTCCTGCCTCCGAAATAGGTGCAGCACAATGTAACGCAGCTCCTACTTTCTCTAATTTACAAGTAAAACGTTGATATGGGAAAAAATATTCAGTCCAGTATCAAGCTCCAAGCACACCTGCAGGAAGAACTGTTAAAAATTCAACCAAAATTATAACAGCAAACTCTAGTCCTCGCTTTCACATGGCAGCACGTGCTGTGCGGCCAGACTGGAAAAGGAGGGACCTGGCTTCGAGGGCTCCCTTGCAAACGACTCAGAAGCATAGGTCAGCAGTAATTTACCAAATGGGAACATCAGCCAGTGTCCCAGCCAGCTATTACATCAAAACACCATGCAGAGACAAACGCTTTTATCGATATTCGATAGCCCTCAGCACGACGGTGGGTTTAAAAGAAACTGCCTAAGAGTAAAGGAAGGAAAGCCACCATAACTGACTGCAGCCAGTTTTGCAAAACCTGCAGGAAATCAGAAAGCCAATCAGGTTTATATTTATGAAAGAGCTGTGCAATATAAATACAAAGACAAAATAAGGAATTTAGCTCGTGGTTAGACGTGTGATTTAATTGCGGCCACACGCTACACAGACAGCAGGGTACGTGGTCACCACGACAACCCCAATTACTCCTCGTCTCATCCTCTAACTTGGAACCTTCGTCATGCTTTGGCTTTTCCTTTACCCTAATCACCACGCTATGTTTTAATTTCTCCTTCCACAGCTAACATACGCTTATGTCTTCGAGCAGGTCCAGGTCTTATCGCCCTTAATCACAACAATTTCAGGTTCTTCTGCTTGAAACGCTGGGCAGACATACACGGCCTCCCCTCAAAACAAACGATGGGATCATTGGGATTGGATTCAATTCACTTTAAACTGCGACCAAGTTCTACTCAATTCACTGGTGTTCAGGTCGCTCGTTTTGATCCACTCCCCAGAGTACAAGTACTAGTATTATGAAGACAAACAGTTTACTAAAACTCACAGCGGGATCCAGGACTGAACTCCTATATTGCTCAGGAAAACAATTTTCTGGGCTGAAGCCCAGTGAATTAACTGGATTTTGCCTGCACTGGTTTTCAGCCATGGAAATAGTCTTGTGTGTGTCCTGACAATCCCAGAGCGCCATCTGGGCCATAGAGCCTCTTAAAATGCAGGTAATGTCAGACGTGTGAAGCTCCTGTCATACGCCAGATCTGCAAGTACAGCAATTTTAGGCTTCTTTAAGAAACACCTTTCTTTGTCTCTTCTGAATTATAAAGTATTTAACTTTAATTTTGAAAAACTCACAAGTATCAAAAAACGTTCTTCACTTTTTGTTGCCCCTTCTTGTTGAGGAACCTGGTCAAGGAAGAGTTCTTCCAAATTAATAAACATAACACAAACTGAACAAGCATGGCAAGATACCCCTGCTTGTTGGAAGCAAATAAGGTACAGAGCATTAAATATTTATCCCTTTCTACTGAGCTCCTGATTTATTTATAAGTCTCAGTTAAAAAAAAAGACAAAAACCAATCAAACAAAAAACCTTGCAGCTAATTAGAGGGCACTGGAAGAAGAGGTAGTTAACAGAAGTGGCAAAGCAAGCTCTTTTAGCACAGCTCTCCCCATGTGCAGCCAGGATTCGTCTCAGGCCTTGCTCCGAGATTTAGTTGTGCGATTGCCTAGAGACCGTCCACATGCAAATGTACATAATCCCTACCAAGTTTTTAAACACAAAAACCAGCAGCTTTTTTTCTAAACTAATTTTGGGGGACGCAAAAGAAGAAGTATATCCACACATCTGGTTAAAGCAGCTGATTAGCATCGCTGAAAAAGAAAGCTAACTCTCAGACATTTCTTAGATAAAACTGAAGCAGTGCAGAAAGCCGCAGAAGTTGATAAACTGTACTGATAAAAGTAACAGCAGCAGCTTTCTGAAGAAGAAGGCATTTGAATTCCAGGTGCCTCAAAATAACAACACTGACGAGAATGAAGAATAAGGAGATGACACGACAACAGAGCAGTCTTTAAAGGAAAAAAAAAGGGGGGTGAGCATGCTGAAATAGGTCCGTAAGGACCAGTACAGCACTTAGGGCCTGAAGAGCACTCGCAGCTGGTTGCCAGCACGCTCCAGAATTACCAAATGCACTTTCTAGACTGAAGGAAACCTTCGTGACCCCAGTTGTTTAAAATAGCACGCTTGATAGTAGTGAACTGGTCTATTTTATTAAGGGTTTTTATTCCTTGTTATTTCCAAAGGGGATTTAACTGCAGCCGCAGGCTTCGCTGTTGTTCTCAGAAGTGGAAGCTCTCCACCGGCTAGGTTGATGCAACTAGATGCAATACTTTAGGTCACTCAGTACAAAAACGTAACACACGTCATATAGTCTGCACGAAACAGAATAAGCACAAGGAAAGTGAAGCAACTACACTAGCACAGAGCTCTTAAAGCAGCGATATAAACCCGTAAATTCTTATCGGGTAAGTATCTTGAATATCAAAACCAAAAATCAGGTTCAGTCAAAACGCAGGAGCGCAGGGAGGAGCGACTCCCCTTCTGTGTTCATAACGCACTTAAAAAGCTCCAAACTACGCACAACATCATTCTGTCTACAACTGGATTTTCAAACCCTCTCGCTCCCAATGAGTGAAGCCTCAGCCTACCAACACACTGCACACCAAGTGTCTTTTTCACTGTATTTCCACCCAGAAATCCACAGGAATGAAAGCAAAACAAGCAAAGAAACCCCAGCACACCAAACCAATCTCTGCCTGCAGACTTCTTCCTCCAAGAAACCAGAACAGGAGCAAGGGGAAACAATGACTCCGCGCTGCTTTTATTCCTCTAAGCCTACAGTGGGTTGACGTTTTTGCTACTTTCTTACTCGCTAAACAGACAGTGTTGCTCTGAGAGGTTACAGGGTTTGTCCAGCCCCTCACAAGAAGTGTTGCAGAGTTACAGGTACGGGGAAATACCAAGATAGCCGCCTGCTCCTTCCAAAATACAGAGATAAAGCACATAAATAAATACCCACAGTGGTGGTCCCAGAGCCCTGGGGGCGCAGGGCAGACCCCAGAAGCCCCCACACACTGTGGGCATCAGGCAGCCGGGGTGACCCAACCCACCCAAATTGCCTTTGTGAGAGACGAATTCACCCAACCGCCCTCAAAGTAGGACAAGGGATAAACAGCACGCAGGAGCCTGTGTTCAATATATAAATATGTGCATCACCAAGTCTTCAAAGACAGCAAAACGCAGGGCTCCCTCTCCTCCCCAAACCCGCCACCACACAATAAAACCTCCCCCTTATTGCTGCTTCTTCCTCCTGACACCATTCCCGGCTTCCCCACCGCCCCCATAGCCCCCCAGCACCAAACCCCCTCCTGCCCAGGTACCCCAGACCGCCGCTGAGGTACCTGAGGGGGTCGCTGAGGGGGCTCCGGGACCCCCCTCTCCCAGCACCCCGACCCCGCACCTCCCTCCTCCTCCTCCCCTTCATCCTCCTCCTCCTCCTCCCTCCCCAGCAGCCCCTCTCCCCTCTCAGCCCGGCCCCGCCGAGCACCGACCTGGCTCCCCCCGCTCCTCCCGGCGCCCCGCCGCCCCCCGGCGCCCCTCCGCCTCCACCGCCGCCTCCTCCCCCCGCGCCGGGCCCTGCCCGCAGCGCCATCTTCCCGCTCCGGCCCCGCTCCCAGCTGGGCCCCGGTGGTGGCGGCGGTGGCGGCGGCTTCCGGGGCCGGGCCCCAGCCTCAGCCCGCCCTCGGCCCGCAGCGGGGCGGAGGAGGAGGATGAGGAGGAGCCGGGGATGAAGGGCCGGGCCCCCGGGAAGCCCCGCTGGGTGCCCGCCCTCGCTGGGGTTTGGTGTGGGGTTGGGGTCCGGCCTCGCCTCGTAGCTCCGTTGTCCTCACGGCACGGGAAGGGGCAGCCCTCGCTCTTTTTCTTCGTTTTCCACACGAAAACGCCTGAGGTGTTTTCATAGCTCCTCGCCTGCCATCTGTGCTGCTGGCAGGAGCGGCGGCAGGCACCGGCGAAACGCTGCTGCCAGGGGAAAGGGGTGAAAGGCAGCACCAAAGCTTCCATGAAAACAAAGCAGCGCCAGCCTTCCCCTCACACCCCAACAGCACCCAGGGAGGCCAGCTCCAGCTGGCTTCCCCAGCTGCCATCCAGTGTTCCCCTACCAGCACTGCTTTTTCTGTTTAATGCAGTCAAAAGCAGGCTTGTGCCAACCGGCCCTGGGGAGGGCAGTGGAAAAGTTGCTTTATTACCTTGTAACCGTGCCAGCCAAAATCCTCGGAAGTATTGGAAAATAAAAGCCTGCTTGCTGGGGTGCTGCACGATTTACTAGCCAGTCACACAGTTGGGCAGAAGCAGCTCATCTCCCTTAATAAGTTCAGCCAAAGCTTGCTAAAATACATTACAAAGCAGGGAAGTCCTGGAGTTGTTCATTATCCTCAGGCAAAGAAGCTATTCAGCATGACAGCTTTTCAGTACTTCACAGAGTAAATTCTAAGCAGCACAGTTCTTAAGCTTCAATATGCTACTGGTTAGGGTCAGAAAACACATTAAAATCAAACCCAGTCTGAGCAAAACATCTAGGTGAAAGCTGAAGCTTTCATTTCATAACCAAATCCCCCCAAAGAGAAATGTGTCATCATCTTTCTACACAACTGGAATTACACCCAGTTAGGCAAGAAAAAGATGCTCATGAGCAAAAGCTGTTTTCCCTCTTCCCGCCACTACTAGAATAAGCACATGCATTATGTGTGTTAGCAGTACCTTTTCAAGCAATTTCTTACTCAAATTGTAATATATATTCCACATCCCATCTATCATCATTACCTTGCAGCAAATGACTCTGTATTTATGAGAACATATGACTGAAGTTTTAGTAAGATAAACAGGCAAATTCATTCATAGATGGCAAAATGAAGGTGTTTCCTGTATAACCTAAATATAAGGTGCAATCCTGCAGACAAAGTGAAAGCGATTTAGCTTTTCTTATTAAACTTTAATGTATTTTAGCAAGCTTTGTCTGAATAAACAAGAGTACTCCACTGTAAGTGATTTAAACAGAGCTGGGATCCATTTCCAAAATGGATTAAGTATGAGAGAACAAGACAATACTAACAGGACTGTTTGCTTAAAGAATTACAGGTGCAAAGGAGAAGCCATTCCTGCATTACAGGACTTCTGACACAACCAGGTAGACTAAGAACACAGATGAGGTAGGTGGAGCCTGCCCTTTTTACACAGCAGAATGAGGAATAATGTATGCAGACTTGTCCCATCAAGGTTATATAAACAAGTCTCTGTATTAAAGTATTCAATGACCTTATTTATTCTGTTCTGAGGCTTAAATATGAAATAACACAAAGTAGTTGGAGTTACAGGCATGTAAAAAACAAAGTCATTTTTTGCTTATTAGATATTTCAGAAGTAGTATGAACAGAGACTTTACTTCCACCTATATACATGGTGGTATATTTTTTTTGTCTGTTTTATAAAAAAAAAAAAGTTCACTGTGTCTTCTGCAAATTTATTAGGGATCACCTGACCACAAAACTAACAGTATTTCCAACTAGCAATGCACAACTAAGTGACAGTAACGGATGTTTTTTTTGAACTATCGTTCAGAAACATAAGGTATTTATGGCAAGACCACATTGTTCAGCTTCTATAAGAAGCATTCAGGAATCCTCTGCAGGCATTTCAGTAGATACTTTCTTGCACGTAAACATTTCCCTTCCCCTTTGCCATCACCTTCGTTCTTCTGTTCTTCAGTGTGGACTGGGGCATAAGTCCCAGCTCAAGAGCAGTCACTGCTCAGCTTTTTGAAGCAGTCTTTGACTTCCCAGCATCTGTAGCTTGGTTAGCTTTCTTTTTTTCCTTAATGTTCTCCTTTGCAGTTCCCCTACAAGAAACACATTGGAGATTAAGACAGCTGAATATTGCATATGGAAAAAAAAAGTACATAGCAACATCCCAGACAGTCTTTTTACATTTTACTGCAACTGAACATAAATCCTTCAGTTGCAACAGTCTGCAGCACACGTAATTGTGCTCTTCACAACCACTGTCCACCACACTGAACTGCTGCACCCCAGACAGCCTTATTCTGGGAGCTCTAGTCATTACAATTTAAAATCTATTTTTTGTATTAACAATTCATGCACTAAAAGAAAGCCAACCCTTAGGCAGAAGAGGAGCAGGTAAGGTGTAGTATTCTGCTAGGACTGCTAGTCTGAAGTCTGGCTTTACAGCCGGTGGTTGAAACTCAGCTCGTTACAGAGCTGCCTGAAATGCTGCCGCCTCATGTGGCACCACATAAGGTGAACTGATGGCATTTATCCAAGTTCCAGTAAGCAGATACTGACACTAAAACTTCACCATCACTACAAGCATTGTGACTCAGTGGTGCGTTCAAACAAGATATTGGTTACTGCGGAGGAAGCTCGCTGGCCTTTCCTGTAGAAAAGCCATCTTGAAAGGAGAAAAAAAAAAACTACTTACTTTTTACTTTTCTTCTTTTTTAAGAAGCACTGAGGAGTGGTACAAATTGCTTCTCTCGTTAGTGGTTTCTTAATGAATTTCTTCTTTTCTTTGCTGAGAACAACATTTAGTGAAGAAGGATTAAGTGTCTTCAACAGACAAACATTAATATTCAAAGTAAATAAAACAGACACTGAAAACCTGTACTGGTTGTTAGGGATTTACAGGTCTGAAGGTATTTTCAGTGTTTATTCCAGGATCAGTTCAGCTACTTATCCATGACATTTACCATTTACTGATCCATGACTTCATCTCCATGACATTCCAACTTGATTTTAATACACAAGGTTTATGTTTATATACACACACAGATTTCTAACTTTGAAAACTATTACAAGTTAATCAGTTCTGCGCAAAAAAAGCATTACAAAGCACTAATTACAAATCTATCTATATGCATACACCCCTACACCATTTTAAGGTAACTTTTTCAACGTGTCAGAAGTCTGATTCCTGACTGTGAGCCTAGGCAATCTAGGGCATATTTCAGGGAGCTCATGTTTTTCCTGCAGTTAACTGCTTTTCTATAATTAGAGAATCATTTCCATTTTTGCCTGGGCGAAAAAAAAAAAAACAAAAAACCACCATCCCCATCTAAAATTCCTTTTGCAGGTGAACTGTACCTTTTGCAACCCTTTTATCCCAAGCACCCCTCATGCAAGCTTTTGAAATGGACGACAAATCATAAACTACTCAAATGAACGTACCTCTGAAGTTTGGGAAAATGTTTTATGTAGCCAGGCACAGGACAGCCAGCTCGCTGAATCACGTTAGCTATACTGGAAAGGAGAGGAAGGAAGAGATTAGCTCTGGCAGTGATTGGAGAAGAAAGAAGAAGGTCCCATGGACCAGACAGAACCATACAGTTCAATAATACATTATACAAAACATAATGCAGATTTTTGCTGTATCATTTTCGATTTACCTTCGTAATAAAGGTTTATCATCTTCTGTAAAGAAAGTGACTGCTTTTCCTGTGTGCCCTGCTCTTCCTGTACGACCTGTCAAGCAAATTTAACAGAGCAGAAGAGATTTTACTTCAAATACCTTTCTTTATTCTATTCCTCTTCACAGCCCCAGCCTCCCAGCATATGATGTTAATATACTAAGCATACTACGAAGCAGCTCATTCCCAAAGATTGTTTCTACTGCACAAAAGCACATGTCTGAAAGAATCAAGTGTTCAAGGTTCATAGAAGCTTGAAAAAAAAGGAACTCAGTTTTACTGAAAGTTGAGGCCAGGTAAAACTAGCTCTAGTGAGCTAGTGCTGTAGCAACAGAGGAGTCTTGGTTCTACGATTTTCACTTTTGCACAGGAGAATCTCCATTAAAGATTTAAGAACTAAGAAAAAGGACACTGTGAACAAGCACTCACCTATCCGATGGATGTACTCCACTGCACTCGTTGGCAAATCGTAATTAATGACCATATTTACTCCTTTGAAGTCAATCCCTCGAGCTAGTAAGGCTGTGCAGATGAGCACCCAGATCTTCCCAGATCTGAAACCATGTACTACGTTATCTCTCTAAGAAAAGAAAAGAAACATACTTGGGAACAGTCTGATTAGAAGTCCAAGGAAGGAGATGAACTTATTTCCTAAAAGGTGTCATGTGAACAAGCAAAACCAAACTTCTCAACCTAAACCTGCAGTAAATTACTGTCAAACTTACCTGCAGCAACATTAGAAAGAAAGGTTAAAAAACAGGTGTTGTCAAGTAATCATAAAAAAATAAAAAGAAAAGAAATTATATCCTCCTACCTGTTGCTGAGTTTTGTCTGCATGGATGACATCCACATTGATGCCTTCGTAAATCAGTTCATGAAAAAGCTCTTTAGCCCTCTCAATAGACTGCACAAAAACAAGGACTGGAGGAGAAAAACCCTGCAAAATAATAAGTTGTATAAGGTTCAAGTCCTTTTCCTACTGTTCTTGGTTGCAGACCGTGTCACTACAGACCTAGTTAGCCCCAGTATTTTACAACTTAGAGGATAACTATTTCTTTTCTAACCAGCAAAAATCTTTGGGAGTCAGATGTAAGCACGTTCAACCCCACTACCTTTGAATCAGTCTTCACTTAATCATCAGGCTGCATTTTAATCCACAGAAACTTCTTTTTGTTCCCCTCCCAAGGTAA